CAAGTCCCCTTCCATAAGCATGGACTTCTTCCCCTAGATCAGGTTTCTCAGAGCCCTATCCAGCTGCACTCTTGATGTTTTCAAGTATGGAGCATCCTCAACTTCTATGGACAACCTGTTACGATACCTCACTACCCTCACAATAAAGAATTTCCTCTGTACATCTAACCCAAATTTCCCCCTTTGAACCCATTACTCCTTGTTCTATCTCTAGAGTTCCTGATGAAGAGTCCCTCTCCAGCTTTTCTGTAGGTCCTCTTCAGAATGGAAGGATGCTATGAGGTCTCTATGCAGTCTCCTCCAGACAGAAAGCCCTGACTTTCTCAGCCTGTCTTCATATGGGAAGGACTCTAGCCCCCTTATTGTCTTTGTGGCCCTCCTCTGGACTTGTTCCAACAGTTCCATGTCCTTCTTATGTTGGGGGCACTAGATCTGTAAGCAGTATTCCAGGTTGTGTTTCACAAAAGCAGAGTTCAGGAAGAATCACTTCCCTTGACCTGCTGGCTGTGCTCCTTGTGATGCAGCCCAGGATTTGATTGGCTTTCTGGGCTGTGGCTCATGCTTCACTGCTGGCTCATGTTGAGTTTTCCATGACCTGTTACTGCCAAACCCTCCTTCACAGGACTTCTATCAATCACTTCTCTGCCCAACCATTAGGTGTTCCTGTGATTGCCCCTACACATATGTAGGACTTACACTTTGCTTTATTGAACTTCATGAAGTTTGCATTGGCCCACCTCTCAAGCCTGTAGAGGTCCTTCTGGATGGCATTATTCCTTCTCTTCATCATATTGACTGCCCTGCCACAGAGCTTGGTGTCATCAGTGAACTTGCTGAGGGTGCAATCTCACTGTCCATGGCCAGCAAACATGTTGAACCCATGTTCACTTGTTAAGATGCATTGTTCCTGAGATTGGAGGAAGAGATCCTTGAATATTAGCTAGCATTCTTGAACCCTTCTGCTGTCCAGGGCTTTACCACAGGGGACTCTATGACATAGGTCCCCAAAGATGCCAAAGTCTGGTCTTCTAAATCCAGGACACATGATCTTATTGCATACGGTTTTATTATATGTATCATATGTTATCTGTCTATTGTATATGAAATACATTTATTGACAGTTTATTTCAGGTACAGATTTTTAAACATGCAGATTAAAAATTGTTAAGTTGGTGTCCAATGTGTTATAATGGAGGCTGTTTTTTTTTATAAAAGGCAATAGTGGTTTGGAAAACGCTTAATTTTGGAAGATTTAATTTGTTGTCTTTGGATGTCATTGTCAACAAATTCAATGATTTTGTGTTTGAACAGCTTCCCCAAAAAACTGAATTCACACTAACGTCTCAGAAAGAACTAGTCTGCCAACAGGAGGACTTGCTTTGGAAAATCTCAATTTGAAGACTGCTTGTTGTGAAAAAAGAATATAGCAGCCTTCCTTTCTCTCCCACATCTGAAATTTATCCTTTTCAGCTCTCACATTTATTCAGTGGAATGAGTCATCTCACCTCATCTTAGCCATCTGAAACCACACTGACCACCTAAGATAATCTCCTGGCTCATTTCTCTCACTAGTGGAGGAAGGCAGGCACATCAAAGAGGCAGTGCACCCTTTCGTGAGAAAGTATATGACAGGCAGGTGGTTTATCATTGATATCCATCTCCAGTGACTTCCATGAGCATCTGTGTACTTGATTTCTATAATCAGGTATATTTTGTGCTAGGTGAAGCAGCTGAATAAAAAAAAACAAACCCAAAACACGACCAATCCTTTTATCTACTTATATTTTCTTATTCAGTTCCCAAAGTTTGGAACCTGAGAATGGGGGAGCTGTTTGCATATTGGAGGAATGCATGTCCTTTAGAGTTTTCAGCAGCAGGAGAAGGATAATTTACGGGACCTGGTGCTGAGGAAGTGCCTAGGCTGTTGTTTTATTGAAAATCATTAAAGCAAAAGTTTGCTACAGTTTCAATAGGCAGGAAGGAATTTATAAATGGCAAGTGAAAACCTAAACTATTTAATTTCATTATAGTTGACTAATGTTGTCAAAAGTATATCAGAATCAAGGTGAGTTGAAGCAAGCTTTTTACCTTCCTGTGAAGGCCACTGAATTTAGCATTGTTGCACTTTCATGCTTCTAATAATAATAATAATAAAAAAATTGATTACTTAAAATTTTTCATGTTTGTATTTTTATTCAAAGGGAGAATGAAATTTCAGGAAACATGAAGAAGGCAAAGCAATTACTTGGAAAATTGCATATAAATTTTTTCATTAAAATACCAGTGTAGCAGTACTGTGTGTTTGCTCTTTGCAAACACATGTTTTTATTTTGTCTGAATGTTGTGGCTTGCATATTTTTGTATGCAAAAGTAGTATAGAATATATACAGAAGATAGCTCTCCAGCCTAATACAAATTCATTGGGTGACAGGCTATCAGTTACCCTGTTTTCAGTTTCATTTTGGGTATTACTACATGAGCTGGCTTTCTAGGTTGTGTCTTTTCCTAAGTGGTATATACATTATATACATATGCAGAGCCTTAGATTAAGATGTGGCAGACTGTGGAATGAATAATACCTGCTGACTCTTGTAAAAAGAGATGGTGAGCTTCTGGGTTACTTCCTGTGCATGCTGTACCTCTTCCACCAATCTTCTGTTGGAATGGTTTTCAGGGATTTGCTATGCAAACTGTGGAGACACCTCTCTGTCCAGCTGACTGAAACTACTGCACATGTTCATTACATGCATAACCACATGTAGTCTGCTCTGGATACTTTTGGACAGATCTATGTGGTTTACAGGATTTTTACAATCCAACAGGCAGACAGATATTGTTGCAGGGCATCGGTCACACCCTCTATGTGTTCATGCTTAGATAGTCTGCACATGCTGTCTAACTCTGATATGACTCTCAGAATACCAGATTTATCAAGTTTGTACAATTATAGTGAGATGGCAGATACATGTCTATTTCTGTATAGGAATTCTTTGATACGTCTCACTGCTCCTCAAACTTAGTGAGAATTTCTGACCATTAATTATAGTGGTTTTCCAGAAATGAGCAAGGAATGTGCTGAAGATCAGAAGGCAGGGTTTTGTCTTTCAGTTCATCAGATGTTTACCTTCCAAACTTTAGGAGCAAGTCTTCATCTTTTTGTGTGTATATTGAAGCTGGCTTTTATGCAGTCAGGTCTACTTCTGATTACTATTTTGTTAATTTATAAAGTTTGTTGTTGATTTACTTTTTTTCTTTTAAGCTATTTGAGCTGGATCTCAAAGGAATGTTATCACAAATGAGTTGATCTTAGAGTTGACTACTGAAATCATTGACTGTTAACCCAGCACTGCCAAGCTCTCACTAAACCATGTTCCTAAGTTCTACAGGTGAATTTGGTTGAATTTCAAAATTATTTCAGCCACCTTGAAGCAGAATTTTTCAGCTAATTAATTTGCCTGGATTCCCTTCAGTACATTTAGGATTATTAAAAAAAACCAAACAACCAAATACATGTAATACATTAAAGGCAAATTATCACCAGGCTCTTATTTAATACAATTAATTGGGAGTAGCTGCTGTGACTCAATGAATCAGCAATAGTTAGAGATACTGGATGGTAAGACAAAGTGTAATTTTTTCATATGATGGTGTGAAGAACAACTGTACTTCTGTTTTTCTAAATGATTGATGTGCATAGTACTTTGCATAATCTTCTTAAATGAAGAATCTTGGTTCCATGAAGCAGTCATTACTCTCTGTGGTATTATTGAACACGAATTTTGAATGAGTTGCAGCATAAAGCTTCCAGATACTGATATCAATTAAATAAAAGTCAGGAAGAGCCAAAGGTCATATTATTTCTGTAATATTGACTCCTGTGGCTTGTGTACAATGTTTCTGGTAGCTAGTTGAGGGGTCTTATCTACAGACTCCCCATACATGGAATGAAAAAACAAGGAGGCATATAAAGCAGTCCTTACTGTTTAGATGTGAAAGTAGTGAGTTCTGTTTAATATACATGGGATAATCTAAGGGTGGCTGCTAGATGCAATGAGAATCATGGTATTTCCTAACCTTGCATAGTATTCCTATAATAGTGTTTCTAAGTATTCTCTAGTACAGTTTTGCATACTTACATCAATCATTAGGAATAACAGTCATTTGTTAACAGATGCTATTCAAGAGATTCCTTATGACTGGATTGAAATTGTCCTCTCTTAGCTCCTCTGTTAAATTTCAAGTGATTTCTATTTTCACTTATTTCAGTTTTGAGTAGGGAGAGCTGATTAATGGAAGTGATTGTCCTGCCCTGCTCTGCATTGGTATGGCCTCACCTTGAGTACTGTGTGCAGTTTTATGCACCACAGTATAAGAAAGATATTAAACTATTAGAAAGTGTCCATAAGAGTGCCACAAATCTATGGTGAAACTTCTGGAAGAGAAGCCTTATAAAGAGTGATTGAGACCACGTGATCTGTTCAGACTGGAGAAGAGTAGACTAAGAGGAGACCTTGTTGCAACCTTCAACAATCTCATGAAGGGAAGTGGAGGAGCAGATATTGATCACTCTCATGACTAGTGACAGGACTCAAGGAGTCTGAGTTCAGAAGCCTTTGAGCAGTGCTCTCAGGAATATGATGTGATTCTTGGGGTGTCCTGTGTAGGGTCAGGGGTTGGACTCAGTGATACTGATGGGTCCATTCCAACTCAGCATATTCTATCATATTCTATCTATAGCATATCTATTCTATCTATAAGATATCTATCATATTCTGTGATTGTATGATTCTGTAATAACTCATGGACTCACATATTATCATTATAACTGATCTTTGAAAATTAATTTTTGTTTATTTTATGTATGTTGCTTCAAAAAACTTGTAGACTTCCAAAAGTTTTCACCTGTCAGTGTGTATGCTGGGCCTCATACTGGGAACTGACACTCCCTCTCAACCTATTTTGCTTTATACTAACCATATTTTTGCTTTCTTTTTCTTTAGATTGCGGTCTTTGGTAAATCAGTTAGAGAGAGGGGAAGCTTCAGTTGTAGATCTAAAGAAGAATTTGGAATATGCGGCGACTGTTCTTGAGTCAGTATACATTTGTGAAACCAGGTGAGCTAACTACTGACATCAACACTCTTATATCTAGCACCAGTTGTCATTTACATGCCAATTGTGAAAGTCGGTTGAATCAAGATTTATTACTCATAGATAATATTGTTTTAATCATTAGAATATTGTATTCTGTGTAGAACAGATCTTCAATCCTTCATTTAAATGCTTCTTTAAGTTTCCTGGGACAGGGAAGGAGATCAAAACCAATCATAAAAGTAATATATTTTTTCTCAGAGAAATGTTTTCATAGTAATTGTGTCCTACTTTTTCTGACAGCTTCTAAATTTCTACTCAATTATTTATAATAAATAATGTTAAATTTTTCACTTGTATTATGTCTTTTAAATGAAAGAAAAAATTACCCATGACAGAGGTAGACTGGTAAGACATTGCAGAAGAGTTCACCTTGTTGGTTACATGCCATTTACCCAGTGATAAATGCACTTGTAGAGTCAACACAGATGACAAGAACTGAAGAGGAGAGAACTGTAAGTCACTAATTCACAAGCTAGAAATTCATTCCTAGAAATGACCATAAATTACCTCTGAAAGGCAGAAAGTTCAGAAATATTGATGAGCTGAAGATGCAAAGTCAATAGATGATCATACAGTTGTGCTTCAGAGGACTGATAATTCTTGTTTCTCAGTCTAGTAGTGAGTTTCACAATCTGAAATGTAAGTACATAAGAGAATAAACAAACAGTTGAAAACTTGTACTGTTGTGTTTTATTAGGGCTAATGAATCAAAGACTTTTAACAGTCTGCTTTAATTAGAATATATGTGAGTTTCTTTTTTTGTTAATAATGTTGTAGTGCTCTCTAAGGAAATCTGTTTACCCTTCTGTTTCCTCATCCTTCTAGACGTTTACTGGACACAGAAGATGAACTCAGTGATATCCAGTCTGACTCTGTGCCCTCAGAGGTCCGTGACTGGTTGGCTTCCACCTTCACACGGCAAATGGGGATGATGCTCAAAAGGACTGAGGAAAAACCCCGGTTCAGGAGTATTGTCCATGCAGTGCAAGCTGGGATATTTGTGGAAAGGTAAAGTGTCATGTAATTAATTTGTTCTAGTAACTACCCAGGTACTGCAGATTTCACCTGTAGTACGTGATGGCACAATGACAGGAGGTGGAGGAGGGCACCTTAGGCCAGAAGACCTCAGAGCAAAGCAGGTCAGACTCAGGGTCAGTAGAAGACTGAATGAAGAGCACTTTAATGTGCTTCTGTTAATGTTTCTACATAGATTTGGGTAACCCCTAACAACCTGGGATTTAGTAAACTGAAACAATACCTATTCCCCCGTTCTTACTGTAGTACAGATGTAATAGCACACTTGGTATAATTTTGATGGACAATATACATAGTCCTAGGTCAGAAGTGACAGCACTTAAAATTTGGACAGATCAAACTCTGCCTTGCTTCCATTTACCTTTGTGGTCTGGTATTTCTTATGAAGAAGTGCTAAGACACTTCATACAGGACAAAATCCTTTAGCATTTTAATACTGGAATGAACTATTGATCAAAATGGATGTGAAAAATTTTGGAGCTCAGGGAGGATTTCAAAAAAGCCATTGAGTCCTCTCAGCCTTCCCTCTTGTGATTTACATCACAACCTGTTGCTAAAACTGATTTTACTTTTTTAACCCTTTAAAACATTTATTAATTTCAATTTGGACTCACTTCTAATCTTATCTTTTCTTGTCAAGTAACCACTCTTCACTGACCTTCTTTGTTCAAGCAAGAAATAGGGCTGGCACATGTGAAACTGTCAGCATTTTTCAGACAGCCTGAGAGACAGCAGCTCTCAGATCTCTGGGAGTAATTTTGCAACAGCAAAATTCAAGTCATGAATGGAAGAGCAGAGCACCTTTCACTGTTCAACACAATTGCAGTGACAGCCTAATAGTCCTCTGTGCAGGAGGTTATAGATATCAGACAGTGGGTCACAGTCCACACAGACACACAGAAGCCTCCTTTGTCATGACTATAGCCAATATTTTTATCTGTGCACCAAAGTTACTGTACATGTGTTAAGATTGGCAGCAAATTGTAACAAGATTAAACCTCTAATTTCTCCTTGGGGCAGATTTCTCCAAGGTTTGACTGGTTATTTGTGAATTAACCCTTACTCTCAACATGTAAGTAAATGCAGAAAGCTGGCTCAGAAAGCTGCTTTCCAGCTGACCTGGAACACTGTGACATGAAGAAGGAAGTATTCAAATATAATATGGCACGGGAGGAGGGTTGTGACTTTCCTGAGCTAAGGGAAAGGGTTCTACTTCAATTTTCTCTTAAAAGAATGCTATGGAGCTTCTGACTAGAGAAAGGAAGGGACAAGAAATTCTGTGATTTCAGAATGGTTGAATGTAAGTCTCCAAAGGGGAATGACTTTTTTCAGTTCTGAGTGCAGAAGAAGACAAAGAAAAATGGAAGTGAAGGAAAACTTTGCACAGGATCATTTCAGGTGGGAGAAGAGAGCTTTCCATCATCATCTTTTAGTCCTAAAGTGCTTTAGGGCAAAAAAGGGTGGTGTGTGGAAAGGCATTCTAGCTATGACAGATTTTCTGCATTCACCAAATCCTATTAAGCACAGTGTGTCCTGAAAACAACTAAAAACTTGTACATACTTGATAATCTGTTTAAAATATACTTTATAATCAAGTTTAAATTCTGGTACATTACATACTTTGTTTAGTATAGTTACAGATGTTGATTATTGCCTTGTTCTTTTTCTTTATTCCCTGAAACACACACATACACATGGCAAACACCCAAAAGGTTTTATACTAATCTTGAAAACATGCAGACAAAAGTAACAGCTGTATCACACTGGAGTTGATTCATTGCATACAAATGGTTTCTGAAGTACACTCAGAATTAGCTTGCATGTGGGCCAGCAAGGACTAAGGGAACTGAAAGGTCAGTACAGGTATGTATGGTGGAAAATGGGGAACATTTTGTTTAGTTGAGTGTAGCCTTTCCATCTGATGAAGACCTGGTACTGGCAAATTCTTTGTCATGTTCAGCTCAGTAACCAAGCTATGAGATATTGGGCAATGTACAAGCTCAAATTAAAGTATAAAATAAAAACAAAATTGAGAATATGGGGCAAGTTAGGAACAAAATGGAAGGAAAAAAAGGTCCATATTCCAGTTAGGGTTTTCTAGGCTGAATCAGGTCTCCTGTAATGGTTGGTTGCTTTATGAGTTTTGTTGATTGTATGTTTTGTTTCACTTAATTCTATTTATGTGTTGCTTTATCTATTTCATCTTGGTAGAATGTACAGGCGTACTTCAAATATGGTCGGCTTGAGCTACCCACCAGCTGTAATTGGAGTGCTAAAGGTAATCCCAATAAAAAGATATTAAAGGGGGGTCTGCACAAAGCATCAAAATAATCCTGTGACATATAAGGGGGGTCTTACTACTTGGCCTTTCCTTCTCTCTGACATTCAGTTAGTTCACATTCATTAATCATTTAACTGGCCTAAGGGATTATCCTTTCAATAAAAGAAAGAATAAAGTTCAAGGCTGTGGCCATTTTCAGCTTGTGAAGATTGCAATTCTGTTCTAGATTACAGTGATTAAATTAAGATTTAGGAATCACTCACAACATCCCACAAGGAAGGAAGAATACAGAGACGGAAAGAAAAGGAGAAGGAAAAGGATCTGCTGCTGTGAGATAAGGGAATTTCTTGCATTGTTCAGCTCAGGTCTTCAAAGTGACAGTTTATGAAAAATAAGTGATCAGTTTATGAAAATGGACCCTTCTGTGAGCTTTAAGGTTTCAGTGTGAAAATAATTAGTCAGAAGTAGTCTGAAAAATAAACAAAGCTTCAATCCATGGGCCAATTGCAAGATTCTTGACTTAGGCATGAATTATCAAGACTACAAACAGAAGTTAGTGACCAGCTGCCTACACAGCAGCTTTGCAGGTTACATGTTGCATGTGGTTCAACCACGCCATGCAGTGGTGAAAAAATGTGATAGAGTGGGGCGGCACACAGGGATATTAAGTGTAAAACTCATTAAGATATCTTGCAGCATTTCTCCACACTGGAAAGATTTACAGTTAGGGTATCCTTTTCATTTTGAATAGTAGAACAGATCATAAGATCTGGAGGAATTGCAAGAAGAATGATAAAACATGCTTTTCATATACAGAATCAAAGTGTCCACCCACACCGTTTTCCAACTGTGTGTTGACAAGTGCTAGCTTCACTCCTGCAAATGGGATGTAAATTCTTTGTTCTTTTGCAACTATACTCCATAGCCAGTTTATGAGGGAAGATATCTATAATGGTACCTCTTCTCCTGAGTTCCTCAGCAGTAACAAGACAGTGGAAGACTTATCACCTATTCTCAGCTGAATTAAGCTTTATTGAATTCCTCCCTTTTTTCTATGTCTTCAAATGATTAGGTTGTAAAAAGAACTGATCATGTTAGAATAAGTTAAACCAATTATTAAACAATGACCAAAGTCATTGACTAATTTTGCTCAGAGTGAAACCTGGGCACCTACCGGGTCACTCTACAATACTCTACCTACACTCTAGAATTATTTTTTTTTTCCAAAACTTTTTTGAGAACATGTCTTTGTCTGGATGTTTTTGGGTTTGGTAATGGATTTGGTTGAAATGTGAGTTACTTTGAAGAAGTCAAAACAGGCTCCCTAGCAATGTGGAATGTCCCCTCACAGCACAAAAACTGATGGAGTTCAAGAAGCACATGGTATGACTCTTGGGGATGTCCTGTGAAGGACTAGGAGGTGGACTTGATGGTCCTATTGAGCCTTTTCCAACTCAGCATATTCTATGATTCTTTGAAGTCTTCTGTCTTAAAAATAATATTTAATCTTAAATTTCTCAATCCCATCTCCTCCATTGAAAATGGCATGTTTGGTGCTTGGTTCAGTCCAGTAAGGTCAATTAAAAAACCCTTACAGCTACCTGACTGCTTAGTGTGCTCTGTAAAATGACCTGATGATTTAAGCATGCAAAAGGCTGTAGAAGTATACCACACATATGTCTTCAGTAGTTCTGGGTTGCCATAATCAACATTCCCCTCAGAGTCATGCTAATAAGGACAAGAATTGAGATGAAATGAAGTCAAAACAAGCTTATTTTTGACTACAAATTCTTATTTTTTTCTGCTGTGGTAAAGAGGACATCTGACTTAATAACCCAAAGCAGTGGAATCACAGCTTTGTGACAGAGGTTGGTTTTAATAAAATAATGAAATACTGATGCTTCTGAAAAAAATTGCAGGCTGTAGTAGTGCAAGTTCTAGATGTATTATCTGTCTAATTTCTTCAGTGGATGAAAAGTTTGGCATTTTTTTTTAATTGAGTGCAGAGCCTCTCTCTCTCTATTTTATACTAATTTTTCTACTGCAGTAGTCTGTTGCCTTTCTGTATGACATGGTGTGAAGAATTAAGATTGATTGCCATGAAAAGGACAATCAGCCTTGTCTTTCATTTGAATAGTGACTACACAAACTATTCATACAGACTTGCTTACAGAGTACACTGTGGTGATCTGCTGTCCATCAGCCTAGTGCTAGAGACGGAACTTCGCATTAATTACTGCCGAAGGAGTTATGTGCTTTAGAATTTAATTTTTCAGCTTTTTTAATGCCCACACCATGACAGAAATATTTTCTAGGCTAGAAAATAAACAGGTAATGAACACAGAACCTGTAGTCACTTACAATGTCTGCAGTATAGACTTCTGCTTATCTGTGGCTACAGAAATGCCATACCTTGCAGTAACGTTGAGCAGAATAGCTTCTACCCCTGAATTTGCTTGTTGAATTATATAACAGGTCCCCAAGGTTAAGAAGGGACAGAAAGCTAGGAAACTGAGCATTTAGAGTTAGTGTTTCTCTTCATCTCTTGCTAGATAAAGAATGCTGTCGTCTCCCACAGCCTTCCCTATCATTTGAGATTTGAACTCAAACTTCTGTGAGAAGGTTAGACCCTCAACTTTACAGCTGAAAACTTTCCCTCCTTGATCTCTTGACTGACCAGCCTGCAGCACTAGTATGTCATTTACAGCTGTCTGTAACTTTCCCAACTGGAATTAGTTATTTATTCTTCTGTTATAAAGACTGGATTTTTATATAATTGTTAGCACTTAATGTATCATATCAGCCCAAACAGGACCATCTCAATGTCTCAGGTACTAAAGCCAACCAGGATTTTTATCTTTTAGGATTCATCCTTTGGTGATTAAATTCCACTGTAGAGAATTGCCATGTTTAGAATAAACAAACAGCACACATGTTCTTAATGGAAACTTGTTAAACACAAATCACACAATACTAATAAGTATCCTGATGTACTGTAAGTACATTGATGATTCTGCATTGGTTAGATGGATTATGAAGAATTTATTGAAAAATAAACTATACATTTATATCAGTACTGGAATTCTGAAATTGTGAGAGAAGGTCAAGAAATTGAAAGATCATGGTAAAAATGATGACCATATTAACTGTCTTTTCTACATACTCTTGCAGAATGTAGACAACTGGTCCTTTGATGTATTTGCACTAAATGATGCCAGTGGGGATCATGCACTGAAATTCATTTTCTATGAACTTCTCACACGCTATGATCTGATCAACCGTTTCAAGGTCAGTAGTTAGAAGATGGCTACCTTCATTCATCTTGAATTTTGTTCAGCTTCCTTCTCATTCTGCTTTTATCAATTACAAATGTAATTTTAGTGGTCTTTGAAGAATTTGTGAACACTGCACTTTCCCTAATAGGCAAGACCGGATGTGATTTAAGTAGTACTTTCAATTGCAGTAAGGCACCATGAACTAGGTGGGGTTCCAAATGAAATCCATGGGAAACACTGCATTGGATCCTCTGAGAATGATGGTGTCATTTTCCTGAACTTTATAGGACCCTCAAGCATGCAGGCACAAATGAGAACAAGAGAGTATGAAAGCAAATTCAAATTCATTCCAATCAGATTGGCCATCAGGCCAAAGGAGGTGATTCTACTCCTAACTTTGCTCTCATGAGACCCCATCTGGAATACTGCATCCAGGATATCCAGGTCTGGAACTCTCAGCACAGGAAAGACGCAGACCTGTTGGCACCATTGTAGAGGAGGGCCACAGAGATGATTGGAGGGCTGGAGCACCTTTCCTGTGAGAAAAGGCCAACAGAGTTAGTGTTGTTAAGCCTGGAGAAGAGAAGGTTCTGGGGATTGCCTATTGCAGCCTTTTGGTACCTGAAGGGGACCTATGAGAAAAAATGGGAGCAAACTTTTTAGCGGGTTCTGTTACAGTAGGACAAGGGTTAATGATTATAAACTAAAAGAGCATAGATTAAGATTAGATATAAGGAAGATTTTCTTATGGTGAGAGTGGTGAAACACTGGAAAACTGGAAAAGGTTGCCCTGAGAGGTGGTAGGTGTCCCATCCCTGGAATAATTCAAAATCAGACAGGACTCTGAGAAACCTGGTATTGTTGAACATGTCCCTGTTCATTGCAGGGCCAGGCTGACTAGATGACTTTTAAAAGTCCTTCCTAGCCCAAACCATTCTATAATTTTATAGCTGCTACAGAGATTTCTTCCAACTTTGAAGAGGAAATATTGCCATCCAGTTCTTGACCACTGTCCCCACACAGATACTCTGTAGTCCCTTCCACTGTTGACATTTCCTTTTCTGAGGGGTTCCCACTCTGACTGGAAAGAGTTTAGAGATGTCTAGACCTCATAATTTATCAGGAACTTCCTATGCCTTATGAGGCATCAAGATGTCTGCACAGAACTGCATCCTCTGCTTATATGTACCTAAGAGGAGAAGACCAGTGATCTCTTATATGGAAACTTTAGTGTTTAATGTATTTCTTGTCTGAGCAGCTGAAACTGGAGAATTCACGTTGCCAGTTGCATGTGTTACCACCTGCATAGTCTCCTTTCTAGAAATCCCTTGAATTGCATTTTTTCAGATAATTTCAGTTACTCTTGGAGTCAGAAAAATGTGGCAATCCCATAGGACAGGCAGACTGGATTTTACTTTGCAAACCCAGAGGTCTGATAAATGATAGTCTTCTTAGAGTATCTAAGATTTGCTATATCATGTGCTTCATTATAAAATCTTAACTGTGAATAGTAAAGCAGAGATATATTCAAGTGGATTGTGAAGATAACAGGCAGTTGCTTGCAATCTATTTAGAAATATTTCTCCATGGCAATCAATCCACTGGTTGCTGTTACTTTTCATACTCTATGTGTGTTCCAGACAACATTTCGTAGTATACTTATTTATGTGTATTTATTTGTGGGAATGATTCACATGTAATGTAATTATGAATGGAAAAACCAGTTTGAAGTAGTAGCCTGAATTCACTCTTTCTCTTGAGTGACTGTTTCAGATATTAGCATTTTGTTTGTTTGGGAAGTACAGACAGCTCTTTGAGAACCTCTCATCAAAAAACTCTTGTCTCAATGCTAGCTATTAAAGCTTGTTTGTTTGTTTGTTTTCTTTCTTTTGCTCTCTTTTTTATTTTATTCTTTTTTTTTTTTTTTTTTTTTCCCTTTCTTTCTTTAATTCTGTGCTGGTTTACTTAGATTCCCATTTCTGCCTTGGTGTCTTTTGTGGAAGCTCTGGAGGTTGGCTACAGTAAACACAAAAATCCTTATCACAACCTAATGCATGCTGCAGATGTCACACAGACAGTCCATTACCTCCTTTTCAAGACAGGAACAGTGGTAAGTAAAAGACTTGGCATCCTGTATATATAGTGAGTTTACAACAGTTTCTGCTTATTAATGAGATTTTGATTATCCACAGTAGAACCTCTTTATACTGTAGTCACAGTTTGATATGGCTGGGCTAATAAAAGTAAAGACTTTGGATTATTTAGGAACTGAGGGTAAGTGAAGTTGTTGATAACTCTTTTAACAGTGATCTAAAGAGGATGAATGAGAAACCCAAGCTTGGTTTTTCACTCTGCCACAGATCTTCTGTGTGAATCTGCCAACACACATTTGCTGGAATTCATTTCATCTAATATGAAGAATCATATTGTCTAAGCTTTCTTCTTAACTTAAGGTAGGGAGAGGGTACATCCAAATGATAATTCATTCCACTTATCTGAGCGTATCAAGTGCTGGTATCTGGAAATACAGATCTTCATCCACTTCTCTACAGCAAAATTATCTGGACTGGCTTGCACAGAAACCTACAGGACAGCTGAAGTGTGACAATAATGCCAGGAATGGATAGAGGGCTTAAAATACAAACTTAATGCACAATATGTTCCCACAGTGGTTCTCAAGACAAGCAAGAGAAATACATTTGAGGATGGATTAGAGAAATTGAAGGAAGATAGATTCCAGAGTGAAGATCAACCATTGCGGTTTGGATTCATCTGGAGGATCAGAAAGTTGCTGCTCCACACCGTTGGGAAGTTAATAAATAGCAGGGAAAGTTCAAAGTGTATTGGATACATATGTATTCATTCTCTTCTTCTTTCTCCTGGTTACCACTTCAGCCAGAGAAAGGAATGAAATTACCTTTAGTCTGATTCTGTGGAGAAGATCTTTTCCACACATTATTTGCCTCACTTTTTCCATGCATCTAATTTGCCCTTGCTCTTGCATTGGCAGAAGTGTAGAGGCAAAGGTGATAGTGAAAGGAAGGTTGAAACTGTGAAAGGGAGGTTAATCTGTTAAATGTTTAGCAGTTATCTCCTGTTATACCTTGGCCATTTTCTCTGATTGCTCTGTATCTGGTAGTTGAATATGTGTAATTCTGTTCTATTGCACTTCATTTTGCTGAGGTCCTTTCACTAACCAGTGTGCAGTTCAAGGGTTGTGGAGCCTTTGTAGTGCAGAGCAGACACATGAAACCAGGTCAGCAGATGCTGAGGCTCTTGCTGCAGTTCAGGCCTTCTTGAACACTCCCCAGAGTGTTACAAACTGTATCTGGAACTGTTGAAAAAAAAGGGAAGGAAAAACCATGTGCCTCAGCCCAAACAAATTCCAACATTCTCATGCAATGAGCACCTTTAATCAGCTATACAAAATCACTATAAAAATTGTCTGTCAGCCTCACTTGTAGTGATATTTGTATGCTGATGATACCTTTTTCTGTGCAGCTCAATAAGAAACCCAAAAAAATACTGCCACCAGTGTTTACTGGTTGATGGAGTATAGGACAGAAAGGTATAGAATAACAGGGCATAGTGCGGCTCTTACTGGTCTTTTAGGCCAGTTTCAACAACTATAGAAATGCTCATGCTTGGGAACTATGTTTTGTGCATATAATCTGCATTTCTGCAGTTTTTTGATTGCCATGCAGGTGTTGCTTTCAATTCTGAAGCCAGAACTGGAGGCTCTTCCCTGAGGAGTCACACACTCCACTGCCTCCTGTAAACATCCCAAGTCTCCTGTGTTGAAAGTAGATTGCATTGTGAATTGCAGTCACACTGCAATTAGAGCAGTAAATACTGCTGTTTATCAGAAGCAGATTTGGAAGGAGTCAGGTGCTGTCTGATTCAGACAGGCTAATTCTGATGGAAGTTGTGTCACTTGCTTCTGATTGTGCCTGAAGCAAAAAGGACTTAGGTCATAATTGCATCTAATACAGTTAAGATACTCAAAAACTCCTGTGAGATACTAAATTGGTCACTGTTGCTTTTAGGACCATTAGTTAATGAAAGTGCGCTGCAAGTTGTAGTCAGTAGGAACAGGTGCAATGTTGAGTAATGTGAATGGTATTCCAGTGGTGAGGAAATAGATTCCCCTTTCCTCCTCAAACCATGGAAGAAGTGCAGTTTTCATGTGGGGGTGCTCTGCTCCAAAATTAAATTAAATTGGATTAAATTAATTAATTCAATTCAATTGAATTAAAACAGCTGCCTAAATATAGCTGATCTCCATCCTATGTATATTCAGAACTACCTTTACATCTTGCTGCTTTTTGCTATGTTAGTCATTTAGCAGCAATTCAGATGTGAGTGAATGATGACTATTTCATTCTAGCCTGTGATGCAGCAGTGCTGAATGGGATTTCCAATTCTGTCTCAGAGTGCACTAAAGCAAGGAAAATGTTAAAAAAGAGCAGACCAGAAGGACATGAAAATACATGAATAAGCAATAGAGAAGTTTGGAATTTTTTTCCTCTGAGAGAGATAATGCAGTGGACTACAAAGAAATGAAAAACCAAACCCAAAATAGCCCCCCCCAAAAACCAAACTAAGTAAAGAAACACAGGGGCCCTTTCCCTCTTTTCATTTCTTTTCAGGATTTGCTCACATCATCTATCTTATCATTACTGTAGTATGTACAGTACTTAAATTGATCACTTCTACAATATTTATGTAAGCAGCTTGGACATGCTGGAACACAAGATTTTGGTTTGAGAAGTGTGTTAGGGCCAATAGGATGAAGACCACTTGTGAAAAAAATATGTACAAAGATAAGAAAAAAACCCCTCATTTTTCTTGCTATCTAGTAATTTGTAATGTGGAAAATTTGTTTCTTTCACATTTAAATTGTCTATATAGTTAAAATTTGTTCTAGTTTTAAAAATAAGAAACAGGTTTCTGGTTCACCTTTACATGGTTCATTTGCCTTTGTCATGCTCTCTCTTATTTATGAACTCTCTGAATAGTTTTGATCCATCCCTCTTTTTTTTAAATTTTATTTTCAATTAAATCTTCTTTCCCTCTCCTTTTGTAAAATTTCCTCAGTTTTCCTGTTATTTTTTCCCTTTGGATGATGCTTTGGAGTTAGTTAGTTATACTTTATTGTATGAACTACAGTAAAGTTTTTGGCTCTCTCATAGACAAAATGTTGAAAGAGAATTTGAAATTAATCTGATGTTTATCTCATATAGGATTGGCATACAAACATGGCATGCAAAAACACCTTCCAAGAGCTGACACACTTTTTGTTCATTTCATTCCTTCCATTATTAAATTCTGTTGTTCAGCTCTGATTATTACTTTATTTTGTATTGTTTTCTAATTAATCTTTATAATTAATCTTTATAATCTTTATAATTTATCTTTAATTTTTATGTTTGGAAATTCCACGATTTCTTTTTCAACATAGACAATGAAGAGAAAACTGTACTGTTTAAGACTTCTTTCTCTGATACTGACAAGAATTACAGGAAACTATTTCCTGCAGCAGACCTGAAAAATTGTGAAAGTTCAGGTCCTCTGTCACATCTTTTAGTACTAACGGGATGCTTCACATTTACTGTATATTTTTGAATGGAAATCATGCTTTCTTGGCCATTATTTTCTTATTTCTGGAAGCCAGTACTTGGTATTTCATACATTTTACTCTCTACCATTTCTGAGCTCCTACCATTGTAAATGGTTTGATGTGGTTTTATTCTGGATTGGTTTTATCAGCCCTTTAGAAATCAAACTCATTCACATTTCCTTGCTCTTTTTATCTTTTGTGACACTGTCCTGCTGTTCATGACAGCTTTGTTCTTTAAAAATTATTTCCCTGTTTCCAAGGTGAAATCCACCACAAAGCAGTGAAATGTAAAGTAAGCAGTTTGATGGAGATTGCATCCATTCTCTGCTGGCTCTTTGCCATATTTTTTGTTTTCACTTGCAAGGTAGTGGCAGGAAAAAGGGGACTAAAATATTCCAGTTAATTCAGTTGTGTTACTCACAAGCCTATTTTGACTTTGTTTTACTTACTCTGCTTTAGTTATTGCCAACAATTAACAGCTGTAATTCCAGTTTTATTCTGGGTAATCTTCCCAGAATGCTGTTACGATGCTTAATACTGCTAATACAAGATACTGCCAATAATAAGATCTAATACACCCTATTTGGAAACCTACCTTACCCAAAATTGTTCACCAAGTGATGCTTTGGTAAGGTGTGCAAGTCAGCACTTTTCCTTTATGTGCCTTAAGAGACAGGGTAGGAAACCTCAAACACTAAGGCTCATTGCCTTAGTTATGCTTTAAGACTTTGGACATGAGATCTTGCTAGCATGGGAATTGTCAGATGCTGTCAAGAGGGTCTGAAGTTGATGTATTGGACTAGTTGAATGTGTCCTGAATGAGTTCTGCATGCATAATATAGGCTTGCCCTGGCTGTTTCTGACCATTGGTGCCCTGATTTTTTCTATCATTTGCAGTCTCTCCTTTTAGAAAATGGCAGACCCCTGTTAAGAATGAAAGTCCAGATCTAGATATGCAGCCTAGAAGCCCTAGTTCCATTTTTCTACCATTGCAGTTGCCAGAAGTTATTGCTTGAAACTTGAATTAATGTTCTTAATAATTTGGAAATCATTCCTTTCTCACAAGTCACAGCTGGAAAAAAAATTGAACAGATTTCTCTGCCATCAGTGCTCTTCAATCATGTCCTGGATCAATTGTGTAGATATGAGAAAATAGTGAAGTTTCTGTTTCTGATCATTTCTTGCACTTCTCACCGTCCTTTCTCTCTTGCCATAAAAAAACCCAAACAAACAAAGCAAAGCAAAACAAAACAGAAAAAAAAAGGAAAAAAAAAAAGGAAAAAAAAATGGAAACAGCCCAAACCCAAGAACTACCTTGATTATGGTCAACAGAATTGTTCAAAATATCTCTGGGCTATATTTTCAAACTACATTTGTAATGTAAGAGGATCTTTAAAACTGAGGCTTGCTCCATTCTTCACTGGTTATGCAGAGATGACTGTGAAACACAGATAAAGAGGTAGACAGGTTGCTGTTTGCAGAGCCCTACTGTTACCTGTGCTTCCCTGCACATGTTTAATACCCTAGTGGTGGGCCCTGAGCTATAGGAGATGTCTAGAATAGATTTTGGAAGCCTTAGTGCCTTTGCTGGACTTTGAATTAAAAAACAGTTTGTATGTGAAATACATTTGCAGCTTGACAGTGAGGTGTTGCAGAAGTATTTGGCAATCACTGTGGTAAAGGCTTTTTCTAAATGCAATACATTTAAGCATTTCATACAAATATTTACTGCATCCACAGTATCTAAAACCTTTGACTCCAAAGTGCTTGATGTTAACAACACTCCTTGTGGGCTACCAGAGGAAAACCAGACAATAAAATGATTTATTGACTCAGATAAAAATTATTCAAACCATCCAAATAATTTATGAATCTAAGGCAAAAGTGACTTTAGCATTGTAAAATAAAGCTTTGACTGGGAATTAGGAAAATCACAGAAATGTCAAAGCTTTCTCAAGTGCTTTTAAAAATGATATATAAATAACAAGATGTACATCTTTTGAGGTTGTTTTCCTTGTTCTCCTTATGATTCAGTGAATGACCAAGACTTTTAGTTTTCTGGAAAATAGTGACATTCTTCTGTATCTTTCCTGCTGCTCAGGAAAACTGAACTGAAAATACATACCCTGGTGGTATGTGTTTACCTGCATATATATTATCAAGTTTCTCTCCACCTTGAACCTTGATTTTTTGAGTTTTCCTTGTTTCTCTTCTTCAAATATTGCTCTTTTAGAAGGGCACATGTTTCCCCTTGCTCTGCCTTAAACCTTATTAGCTCCTGAAACAATTTTGCTGAAGTTCATTTTATTTAGATGAAGGTCCAGAATGAATACTGGTTGGCTTTTATGTATCAGCCAGAGAAGATTGCCTTAAAACAGCTGGCAGACTGCAGGGGAAAGGTAATGACATGCAACACTGACTATCAACAGAGAATAAATACTTACCTTAGAAGACAAAAGCCTGACAAAATGACAGTTTATCTGATTGTACTGTAATCTCTTTTCAGCACTGGCTGACAGAGCTGGAGATCTTCGCTATGATTTTCGCAGCTGCCATACATGACTATGAACACACTGGAACCACCAACAATTTTCACATCCAGACACGGTGAGGCCGCTGTAAATCATGACAAAGGGTCAGGAAATAGAGGGAGAAACCTTGGGAGAGTAACAGTACAGCAGCCTTAGAAAAGTGCAGGAACTTCTGCTTTCAAGTGTTACAGGAGGAAAGTTCACTTTCTTGGGTTACATTTAATTTTTTCTTGTTCAGATGTTTACAATAGAATGCATGTATTCTAAATTTCTGAGCATTGCTTCATATTAATAACCAGGAAAAAGAAAGTTTCAAAAATATTTCTATGTAAAGTTTTCAAAGACAAATGGCTGTATAGAATGATGTATTTTGATGAAGTTTTGAAGGAGATACTGTCATTTTACAATTTGTTTCCTTGTTGAATTTGAAGAATCAAATATAATCAGCTTAAATCAGACATTCAACCATGTTTGTTGCATTCATCAGTGAACATGAACGCTACACATATTATTTTTACTTGTGTTGGAAACCACACCTGCAGCAAGGGGATATGCTTACCACTACCTAATCAGAGAAATACTCTTTTAAAGCATCATAAATTGCTAGATAGAGCTATAATAGGTTTAAAAAGCTCTTGGGTTGGTGGAAGACAGGAAAATAAGATGGAGATGGCAGCAAAATTCAGAAGTATGCAAAGATTATGAAGTCTCTAGTTTCAGTGATGATTTGGCATCTAATTATTTTGACGATGAGAGTGTGCTGGTAGCAATGCCAAAATGTCTAAGTGTCCTTGGCTGACATTGCACGCTTGGGCATTTATAAGATGCATTGTGATTATGTGTCTGTAATTAAAATATGTGTCTGTAGTGTGTTAGCTGAATCATGCTGTGCATCAATAATGATTTTCAGAATAAAGCACGCATATGCACAGTAGTGACTGGGAACATAGAAAGAAGATTGTATCTATTCTGGGTGAAGCCACACTACTCTTCTCACAACTTCATGCATACAGGAATTAGGGATCTGCTATACTTTCCAAATACTTATAAAAATATTCAAGAATATCAGCCAATGTGAAGCATCAGAGGATAAAAATATACTCTCTATGAAGCAAATCTGATTAAGGACTGTAACAAAACATGTTCACCCTCTGTTGCTGTTAACTTCTTTGTCTTAAGACCAGATTACCCTTTCATCAGTTACAGATCTCTGCTCTGGGGCTTAAAAACCGGCATAAAGTACCTTTGGTCTTAACTCTGTCCCACTGGCAATTGCCTTTCCAGACAACATAGTCTAGCACACAGATGTCAGAAATTAGTTGAGTTATATCTTGCTTACAGCCAGTTTGCTGTTCTGGAAACTGTATTGGGTCACATCTTGCAATTGCTTACTTGGATACAGTCCGATTTTAATATCAGAGAGACATGCATAAGAACTAGGAAAAAGCCTCATGATTCTACTCCAAGTTTACATATCTCTCACAGCTTTCAGCACTTGTTTTCAACTATGTAACAAGGCGGTTAGGTGAATCTCATCTGGTGAAATGGATTTTGCAGTGTTCTTTAGGTTTCTTTTACTGAGTAATAGCAATTAACAAAGAATTACAAGTACTCTTAAAATGCTCATATCTATTCTATAGACTTAATTGCTGTAGCTGATCAAAGGAAAACTTCTGAGTCTCTTTACTCAGGGAAGAAACAACCTTTCCTATGTTTTCTTTTAAATGCTAGGTCAGACTCAGCCATTCTGTATAATGACCGGTCTGTGCTTGAAAATCACCACGTTAGTGCAGCGTATCGTCTTTTGCAAGATGATGAAGAGATGAATATTTTATCTAATCTCTCAAAGGATGATTGGAGGTAAAAATGAGCATGGTGTATGCCTAGGAATATTGCAGCATCATCATATACTGGTATTGCCTTGTTTGAATAGCAGTATGCATTATTGTATATTACATGTTAGTCTTTCTATGCTACAAGATAAAGAACTTTAAAAGGTGATTGTCTGTTTTATTCCTGCTTTTAATTTTCACTTCTGATAGTGAGACTAGACTTTGTGACAATGGGTTATAGTTTACAAATTGACTCCCATATAATTACTGAGTATCACAGAGGCACTCTTTGTATACATGTAATTGAGTGTAGTGCTAGCCTGCTGTTTCTTTGTCCTAAAGCATAAATACAACCTTTATGTACTTTAACGCTTCCTGCCTGGAAATTAAAAATGGGACTTAATACAAAACGTAATCCAGTCCAGGGGCATGGATCTACTACGTATGCTTAGGAGATTTAAGAAGATGTAATTTAAAAAGCACCTCATTAAATATCTGATTTATGTGCCAAAATAAGCCCACGATTAACTTTCTAATAGCAGACTGTTCAAAGTGATGATAATTTTCTGTTTTCATAGAGTTTTGTGAATTTCAAGGGGTGATAATTTAAAAATGGCTTAGAGTGCTAGACAGGAAGGATCTCAACCCATGGTCTTTTTCATGGAAGAGGAAGCAACTTGTGAATCATGTGTGACACATAGTGCCTGCTACATATTCTTAAATGTAACATAGTGCTGAGTAGTTGTTTAATCTAATTTTAATATAAATGTGGGGAAATAAGCCTGTCTCTGGGGTTGACTTCTACCAAAATTGTTAGTGAAGGCTCTGCTTGCTAATCTGTTTAGCCTAAGTTTCCTATTTATTTCAACTTGTCAACAGTGATGTGATCCTATAGCCAAACACCAGGAACTTACAGTGCTGATTTCAGTCAATAGGAGTGTTGTGGAGGAGTGTCCTGAAAATTCTATCTGCCAATATATAGAATAGTGTCATGGTGGGCAGCAAGAAGGAACAGAAAGAAAATATCTCCACTGAGATGTCAAAAATCTATTTTAGGTACAGATGAAAATTCCTTGTCAAATACTGGCAGCAAATTACTGCTTTGTTTGATGTTGGTGAGGAAACAACTAAGGAATTAAGTGACTAGAAACATCAGCCTTAGAGCCACTGTCTACAAGGAAAAGCCACTGTTTTTAGTGGAGCAACTCATTGCATATGTTTCATTGCATAGATACTGGCTTTAGGTAAATGGTCTGCTTTTGAGCTTTAAACATTTAAAAGTTTTTGATTGAATCAAAGCCAGTTTCAGATATTTCTCATTGGTTCTGTAGTGCCAGTATGTGTGTTCTGTTGATGCAATGTACTTAGAATCCAAGTTTCGAAGAGTAACCCATCCCTTTAAAAAGTACTGTAACTGCCTGAGCAAAAGTATTCAGTGGCTTGGATTGCTTATTTCTTCTCTCTCAAGTACAATTTTATAGCTGCTGATCAAGCAGCAGTGCTGCAGAATAAAGGGTGTTGTCTGGACCTGCTCTAATTCTAAAACATTGTGATTATTTGTAGTGACTGCCACTACAAATTCCCATAAGCAAACATTTGGGAAGCACTGTAAACATCAGCTGACTTCAGCAAAATCTGAGGTGTTGAAAAATAAAACCTAAGAAGTCCAGAGTTTCCTTATTCTTGGACTCAAAAGTAGGACCCATAGTATTGAAGGATGCTTTGGGCAGCTAATAAAATGTGCCCAAATTACACTTCACTTTTGTAGACTGACAAATCTCCCTCTGCAAAAGGCCTGAGTGATGTTTTTTGGCCTATAAATTCTTGAGTACCTTTCTGAGCTGAGCTCTGACTTTTTTTTTCACATTACTAGGAAAAAAAGATCTGATAATCTGCAATTGTTGATGTTTGTGTGGATTTTATAACTTTTTGGTATTCTTTCATCTAATTAGGGAATGTATTTTCAGAAAAGATACATAGAAAATTTGAGACACATTTCATAGCTGAAAAATAAATGGCCAGGGGTTTTGTAAGGAAAGCAGATGAGAATGGAAGAGGACTTTTGGGTTATAGTAAGAAGAAAAGAGCTGAATATTTACTAGTGCTTAAACAACATTTTTTTCCTCTACAGAGGAATATGTATATTTCTCTGGTGCTTATTAAATATTTGAAAATTAATTGAGTTGCTGCATTTTTTGAATCCCATTTGTGCAAGTGATCAGATGAAAAAACTATATCAAAAACAGATCACAGTGAGCTAAGAAAATAAATGCAAAGTGAACATATGTTTTCCAATATGATATTACAGATGTCTTTTTGACACTGTATTTAATTGTTTGTAAGTTCCATGGAGTTTATTGAAACCTTTACTGCCAAAATAAATAAAATAAATAAAAATAAATAAAATAAAATAAAAATATTAAATAAAATAAGGAGGTTGAATAAAGGCTGAAAAGGAGATATCTGGAAAATGTTTAGTTGTTTAGCTGTGTGTAGGAATACAACTTCAGGAAAAACTTTGAATTCAATTCTGACTTTCTCAGTAAAGCTGCTTGGTGTTTTGTCCCTCAGATAATTCTGAACCCTCCTTGTCAATCACTGTTATTTGTTTCAAGATTGCAGTGAGAAACCATGAGTTTTTTTACTGACCTTGTTAATATGCCTTTTTTTTTTTTTTTCATAATTAATAGTATGTGCATGCTTGCAGGACCATGTAAAATTTTCTTGTAAAATTTTGCTCCTGTGAACTCAGGATAGGCACATGCATATTCTGAGTTTAATACCTTTAGCAAGAATCTGCCAATGATGATATTTCTTTTAATGTAGTATTTTCCTGTAATAAAGTGCTGGGACTTTGAACAAAATTCAGTAACACAAACTGCATGAACTGACACAGAGAAATAAGGGAATACAATTCACATTTTTTGGATCCCAATATTTTATCCACTCCTTATTCCATACCATCTCTATCATCTCCCAATTAATACTTTTTAACTATATACATATATACATACAAACAACTATATACAAATACAGGTATTATTACAGTAGTCACTGATTGTTCCCCCAAGATGTGGATTGACTTCATTTAGTCCATGACTGATATAATGGGAGCATTTCATTCTCATTGTCCATGATATTTCCAACATGGAGTGGCATTGCCTTTCAGCAACAAGTGTTACATTTACCATTCAACATTACAGACTGTTCTCATTCAAAGTCAAGTTTCCCTGAGGTACGTGACATGTTTCGCTGTCCCTCTGTATTACTCACCTAGTGTAACCAGGTCCTTGAGCAAAAACCATGCCATGACTGGGTCAGCCTTTGTTTGAAGCAGGATTGCTCTAAACTGTCTTTCCTAACATAGCTCTCATATGCATCATGGTGACTTTACTTCCATCTGCTGTGCACAGAGGTAACAATTGGGTAAGTTCAGTTAATTGAATCTCTGGGATTAACTAACCAGGTAGACTTTATAAAATGCAGATGCCACAGCTTGGAGATTCGATCAACCATTGCCTTCAGTGTGGATTTTTACAGTCCATTGTTCTGCTTCGCTTTTCCAACAGTTGGTACATGATAGAATATGATATACCAACACAAGGGTCTCAACACTATGATCTCTAGCCCAGGTGTTTACAAGGCTGTTTTTGAAATGAATCCCATTGCCCAGTATAGTGTTCTGGGCAGTGACATGAAGCATGGGGTATGTCTCCAGCCATCCAGTGGTAGTTTCTACCATTGTGAGCATGTAGCGTTTGCCTTGGTGGGTTTGTGCAGTGTGACATAATGAATCTGCCAGGCCTCCTCATGCATACTTTTAGACCAATGCCCCCCATACCACAGGGGCTTTATCTGCTTGGCCTGCTTGATTGCAGCCCACATCTCACAGTCATGGATTATGTGGGATATAGTATCCATGGTCAAATCCACCCCTTGGTCACAGGCCCATTGATGTATTGCATCTCTTCTTCCCTCATGACTTGAGGCATTATGGGCCCACCAAACTAGAAATAACTCACCCTTGTGCTGCCAGTCTATATCTGCCTGAGACACTTTAATTTTGGCACATATTCTTCTCATTCATTCATTCATTCATTTGACCACACTCTTCTCATTCTGTCCTATCCTGACTGACCCAAGGGCAACTGCATGGGCAATCTCTTGTTTGATCTGTTCAAAGTATTGTTGTTGTCCAGGGCCCCACATGAAATAATTTTATATAATAAGCTACACATGAAGTAGCCCATACAGAGCAATATGATAGAGATGTAATCCAGAGGATGTTGTGAAAAGTCTACTCCTTCCCAGCATTAATTGTTCTCAGAGCATAATCACACTATATTCTTGTAAAAGTATATTTTTATGTATTCAGCTTCTTCTCTCTTGGTTGTATTGACAGAGACATTTGTGCTACTGGGAACTGACCAGGATAGGCAAAAAAACAAGTTTTTTCATTTATGAAAAGTTACTTTTCATTCATCATATAGTTATTTGGAATGCTTTTAACTATGCAACTGATTGTACTTATGGGTTGGGAGGAGGAGGTGGTTACAGGGGTGGACTGATACCATCAGTTGCAGAATTCTGGTGGTGAAGCATCATTATCTGCCACCCATGGGATTAGATAAGTGCAGCAGTCTTGGGTCTGTACACAGTGGTGGCCTGGGGCTGGAATTTGAGCACAGCTACTATAGTCAAGAAAGAAGTCATCATAATAGACTTCATGAGACATTCATAAAAAGGAGAATAGTGATTTATTTCTAAATGAATGCTGACCCATTTCTGAATATTCCAAATCCTGAGCTGGTATGCTAAACTTGAGCTGTTCTTCCTCTGTTAATCTGTAGATACCTGAACTGAGAGAAAGAGAAAATGAATTTGTATTGTGTGCTAGATCAGAACATTCTGGTATTTTAAACTGTTTAGGGCATCCATATCATCTTCAGAGAAATTTCAACTGGGGTCCAAACTAGTGTTGTAATACTACTACTACTGATGATGATGATAATTATAATGAGTAATGAAAATATGAGAGAGAGAGAAATAGCATCCAAGAGAAACAAGTGATGAACAATACCATTGCTCACCACCTGCTGACTGGTGCCTAGTCTGTCACCAATTAGTGATCACTGGCTCCAGTTTATATATTGGGCATGATGTTCCATAGAGTATGCCTTTGGCCAGTTTGAATCAAGTGTCCTGGCTATGATCCCTCCCAGCTTCTTGAGTACCTGCTCACTGTCAGAGTATGGGAAACTCAAAAGTCTGTGATTTGGAGTAAGTTATTACTTACTTGTACTTATCAGCTATAAAATCATCAGTGTGTTATCAGCATTATTCTCATATTAAACCCAAAACACAGCACTGTATTAGCTAAGAAGAAAATCGACTCTATTCCAGAAAAGAAACAACAAACCAGGACAGCAAGTTTGCTTAACAAAATCTCATACTGGAATAGTTTGAATTAATAATAATTGAATTAATAATAGCAGGGAAGTAGTGCAGGTTCCCAAAGGTCTTTATTTCATATATGCATCATATGTACTAGGGATTTTTTTTTACTGTGCTGATTTTCCACCATATGACTCAACTTTGAATATGCATATTGACCAGCTGAATCAAGTTTCCTGATTCTGAGGCTTTAAATAGTCTTTTCCCTTTCTTCTACGAATGCCCTAGAAAAGAAAACAACTTAAGAAACTTGTGCTTAACTGAAAAAGGAGTACTAATGCCAATGTGCTCTGTAGAAAACATCTACTATTTCTCTTACCAAGGATTAGCCGCTTGGCTTCATTTGCATCCCTCCCATTTATGTGTTTGTGCAGAAAATCCTTCATCCTCTTCCCTCTCCCTGAAAGAGGAATTAAGAGTTACATACAAAGGCATTGCTGTCAGTAATTTGCAGATAATAAAAGAAACTGCAGTGTGTCTGATGCTGGTTTTTGTGCTTCTCTTTCCTTGCTCCTCTCATTGTGATGCTATCCAAAAGGGAGTTTAGAGCTCTAGTCATTGAGATGGTGTTGGCTACCGACATGTCCTGTCACTTCCAGCAAATCAAAGCTATGAAGAATGCTTTGCAGCAACCAGAAGGGTGAGTCACTTCACAACATAGTGCAGTGGGGGGCTTCATTTCATCTGGTGCTTTGCCAACGTGTTTAACTTCAAAAGCACCTCTCCAGGGGCCCTCTCTTTCCTTTATATCTACAGCAATTTTCTTTCTCCTGTTGAATTTTGAAATAATTCACTTAGGGAGGGATGGGCACATGCCTATATGCACATCTGTAGTCTGTGCTGGTGGCCCAAAGCTTTCAAATGTTACCATTGTGACATTTTTGGACATTTGACATACTGGGCATTTCCCTGGTGTGTAACATCAAGGACACGATTCATTAGAGTGGCCTCTATAACTGAGTATGACTTAAGGTTGGTTATAAGATCTGCAGAACATAACTTGCCCTTTGCCCTTATGTAGATGGTATCAGCTGTCACCCTTGGAAGGAGCCTGCTTCATAACCAGAGAACAGACAAAAACTTATGATCCACTGAGGGAAGGAGTGGAAAATAATAGATGGAGCAGTATGGGAGAAGCCTTTTCTTCTTCCCAGTATGCTAATGGGAGCTGTAATATTTTGTCCACAGCTTTTCCCCAAAAAAATCTTTCTATATTGCTCTGAGTGATGGTCAGTTTTTCACTCTGGACACAGTTATTTCCAGAGCCTCACACAATTATATCTGTATCAGATTCATACCTATATCAGAATTACACCTGTATCAGAGCAGGTTGTGGCTAGCCACCTGATCTCCTCAGAAGCTATAACTCTTTCAACCATTTTGGATAGCCAAAAGGCAGAATTAAACAATGAGAACACCCATGCCAAGAAGGCATTATTTACTGGGTTCTTGGGCTAGCCTCTTAGATTTTGATCATAAGAAATCATCAGCATTTTTTTCTTCCGTGAAATCAGGATTCCCTCCTGTAGTCACACTAGTTTTCTATCAGTTATTTTGTAGACTTGTCAGAGCCATAGAGATCCCCACTGTTCATTACAGTGGGATAATAAGGACCATCTTCTCTTCTAAGCTGCATAAAATACAACACTGATGAAATGGGGAACATTTCTTTTTGTGTTTCTTAGTATCTCTTTTAAAACAGGAATCGTGTATGTTGTAGAAATCAGTTATCTGATTTTATGGTCAGAGAAACCACTTCACAAATATCCTGGTCAAAGATTCTAATTATCTTATTTTCCTGTAGGTAAATAAGTCGTTCTTCCCTGCAAGAGCAGACAATTAATTTTTTTTGATCCTTTGGGTTTCCAGAATTGACAAGCCGAAAGCCTTATCACTGTTATTACATACAGCAGATATCAGCCATCCAGCCAAAGCCTGGGATCTCCATCATCGCTGGACCATGTGTCTGCTAGAGGAGTTCTTCAGACAGGTAAAGCTAGGCAAGTTCTTTTCTGCAGTTGAGAGGAGTGTGTAGGATTAGGTAAGGAAGTAGGAAAATATTAACACAGATATGTTGCTTTTTCTCTGATGTTTTTAAGAACCTCCTAAATGGTATGAAGCTTTCTCCTCTAACACCATAAGCACTGGGTATTATGCCTCTTAGGAAGCTAGTGTCTGATGCATTCCCTATAGATATAAACATCACCTACATAGTAGAAATCCTAATTTGGGAAGCTGTCTTTCGAATTAAGAAAACATGGAATATATGTCACTCTACTTAGCTCTAGAACCATAAACCCATGTTTGTGTAGCTGTACTTCATAGAACTCTACTTACATTTTTGTAATGGATGTGAAAAAGGCTTACTTTGCCCTTACTTAAAAAGAAGTTAACTGATCAAAATTATAGTTTATAGTGGACCAGCTGTTGACAGACCCACAAATCTAGACAAATCATTGAGCTCCGTGTGATGGTTATAAGGTTCTCAAGTGATTAATAAAAATCATCTAAAAAATGTAAAAAAAATTAAAAAGGTAAAAGCAAACAGATAATTTAAGGAGTGTGTGGGATACTTTTCTCCAGTATGAATTACTAACCTAAGCAGTGCTAGCACTTAGGCGGTTATTTTCTCTACAAAGTCCAATAACTTCATGTTCTATAGTAAATCTAAATGCAAAAGGGAAAAATATGCCAAGAATTGTTTTACTGGCTGGAAGCAGATAGCTCATGCCTGCAATTGATTCTTTCCTGCCACACAAGAGGCTCATGCAAGTAGGATGATTTTAACATAAGTTTTAGGGGAAAATCTGTGTATATTTATGCTTTTCTAGCTCAAAGTTATACTAGATGTGTTAAAATACACAACTGCTAAAGATTTGTGAGAGAATTAAGATTACCTCACAATTAAGATGTTTCGATTTATTTTACACATGCAATGAAGACAAAACTATTATTTTATACATTTAAAAAAGTATTTTAATTTCAGACAATAAATTCTACTTTTGTTTTGCAAGAAGAATAACAATACTTTTAGATGAAGCTATATATAAAACTCATATTCTAATTCCAAATTCAGATGTAGTATTAGTTTTCTCCTCTGGAAAATCATTAAGCTTACCATGAAGCATAGATTTGTGTTCATTGAATTTATTTAGTACTAGATCAATGAATACATCCCTACTTGATATTAGAAGAAAAACACACATGCTTCTCACTAATTGATGTCCTAGTTCTGATCAGGACAGGGTTAATTTTTGTAGTAGCCAGGAGGTGGCATGGCTAGGACCTGGAAGTTACTCTCTTCCATCTCTCTTTATTTTCCAGGTATGGAGGAAGGGCTTTTTATGGGTTTTTTGATTTTGTTTTATGGGTTGGGGTGGTGTTTGGTAAACATTTGCATGGATACATTACTTCCTCTCTCTTGAGCTTTCTTATTTCATTGCTTTTTCCAGTACATTATTGTTATTTCAATTCCTATTCTTTACCTTTTGTGCCTCCAATTGTCCCCTCCAGCCCACTGCAGGGGCAGGGGGAGGGAAAGGGGAAGAGAGGAGTGAGTGGCACACAGTTTGGAGTTTTTTGGTGGGAGCACTAAATTGAAGAATAAATACATTTGGTTTTTCCTAAACCAAAACAGCCTAGTTTGGTACCCACTGTGGGACCCAAAGAGTTGAGATAACAACAGATGTGGCCACAGAGGGTTAGAAACAAGTTTGATCTAAGCATTAGTTTTACCATGTATGAAGCCACTGGTCACAGGGTTGCTTGGTCTGTTCACAAGGTTGTGGTACCTAACTCTGGTAGTGAAGCCACACAACTGGGATTTCTGTCCTGGGATGTGGGAATTGACAAAGAGATTGGGAAGAAGACAGAAACTTAGCCTCTGGAGCAACTCCCATCAAGTGTGATAGAAAGGTATTAATTGTTGCAAGTATTTTCTAGTAGTGTGGTCAAGCAGAAGGGAGGGTGTGGAGAAACATCCACTACCAGAGAGAATTAGCTGTGCTGGTGGTAACCTAAAAGGATTAAAATAACAAGCAGTCCCTTGTAAACTCAGATCAGGTCCAGTTTACAAAATGCATGTGGCAGAAGTTTGTTTGCAGCACATCATTGTTGTACACCAACTCATTAGCACTGATGTCAATGAAAGAAATATAACAAAGAGGGCTTCAGGTGACTACACTACTGTGGCAGTATGAAATGATTTTTTCCCTTCCTGACTGTGGACAGACTTGAAAGATTCAAGCATATTAGAGAGGAAATGTCCTCTCTAGTATGGACCACAGTCTCTGCTATTGGAAGCAGAAGTTGCTTCAGAAGTGATTGTCACTGAAGCACAGCTCCTTCTGGCACCCTGATAGCCTGTTCTGGGCTGGATGTTTAAAAGGAAAGTCCTTTTCACACATCATGCTTCAGATGCATTCAAAGTGGTTTGTGCCAATTACTCAGAAAGCTCAAACAGAAACCCCTAATTGCCCAGGGATACTGGCCTGAAGTCAAAATCTCAAATTATGAATTGGCCTGAAGGCAAAAATTTTGTACTATCATTATTATTGGAGAAGGAAAAGATGACATGTGCTGAGGAGATCCCACCATATGTAATCAGCTATCATGATTAATTTCCCAAACTGAAAAGTGATATGCAGTCTTTACTGATGGTTCTGCTGCATTGTAGGAATATACCGAAAATCAAAAGCTGCTGTGTGGAGTTCTATGTGATGATTTGCAGAAATTAGACAAGATGGATCTAGGCTGCAGAGTTGTAAGATGTCCAGCTGGCTTTAGATTTTGCTGGATGAGAGAAATGGCCAGTGCTTTACCTCTGTACTGACTTGTGGATGGTAACAAATGCTCTGTGGGGGTGACCCACAGACCAATGGAAAAAGACCAGTTTGCTGTATGGAGCAAACCCATCCAGACTGCTGAAATGTGGCAAGATATTGCTTCCTGGCTTGTAAAACTAAGTCATGTACCTGCAAGTGTACCCAAGAATCAAGCTACTGAAGAGCAACACAACAATGGATAAGTGGATTGAGCTGCCAAGATTAAAGTGTCTCAGGTAGATCTGGATTGGCAGAATAAGGGTGAATTATTTCTGGCTTAATGGGCCCATGATGTGTCAGATCATCAAGGAAGAGATGCAACAGGGAGGAGATGGGCTTGTGATTGAGGGTGGACTTTGCCATGGATCCTATCTCTCAGGTTATCCACAGCTGTGAAATCTGCACTGAAGTCAAGCAGACCAAGTGGGTAAAGCTTCTGTGGTGTGGGGGGAAATGGTTGAAATATAAATATGAGGAGGGCTTGGAGGTTGATTACATCACAGTCTCTCAAACCCATCAAGAAAGTACTATGTACTTACAGTGGTAGAAACAACCACTGGAGATGTGCCCTGTGCCTCATGCCACTGCCTGTAATGCCATCTTGGGCCTTGAAAAACAAGTTCTGTGGCAACATGACACCCCAAAAATAATTGAGTTAGACAACAGGACTCATTTTAATAATCACCTCATAGACACCTGGGCCAGAGATCATGATATTAATTGAGCTTCCCCTGTGTAATTAAAACCTCCATATGCAAAACCTCCACATGCACAGGGACACAAAGTCCCTGTGGTGCATATGAGGAATATGTTTTGAAAGACAGTTTGGCTTAGTCCTGCCTCAAGCAAATGTGGAATTGTTTTGCTCAAGGATCTGGGTAAACTTGGTGTGTAATGCAGAGTGATGGGGAAACACTATGCATACCTGGAAAGGATTTGATTTTTGGGTGAGAATAGTCTGTAATGTTGAATTCTATAATATTGGCTGCTGAATGACACTGCCAGTGTGCACCACAGCCATCATGGACAATGTATATAGACTGCTCCAGATACACCAGTTGTGAGCTCCTGATGCAGCTTGCAACCACCCAACAGCACACCAGCCCTTCTGCCCTGGAAAACACCTAGGACAGATAAAACTCACACTCATGGACTAAATTAACTCAACAGACATCTTGGAGGGATGGCCATTAACTATAGAAATGATAATAGTGCTTGTAAATACATACATACATATATATATATATATATTTATATATATGTATGTATTTATGCATTAATATAGATGGAAAATGTAGGATCTGGGCACAATACAAATTGTATAGAATGGTGGGTACTGTCCTGGTTCCAAACAGGATGGGGTAATTTTTACAGCAGGCAGAAGAGGCATGGCTAGGACCTGGAGTTTATTCTATATCACTTCACATCATTTTCCTGGGATGGGGGAAGGACTTTATTCTGGGTTGGGATAGTGTGGTGGCAGTCGGGTTGGGCTCCATGCCGAGCATCTGCATGTGAATCACTTGCTGTTCTCTTGTACAATTTTTCTATTCATATTGTTGATTTTGCTGTTTGTTTTCTTATCTCATTGCTGTTTCCAGAAGATTGTTCTAAAGTTATGATCTGTATCATTTTTATGCCTTCAATTCTCCTTTCCAACCCACTCCAGGGGGACGGGAATGGGTCATGGGGAGTGAGCGAGTAGTGCATGGTTTTGAGGTTTTCAGTGAGAGCACTAAATTGGAGAATACCATCCCTATAGTAAGGGACTTGCTTGTCCTAGGATTGCATATTTATTTCCTTATGGCCACTTATTGCAGACCCTTTCCTTTCCTTCCTGCTAAGTGTTCTTCAGAGACATAAAGCCTGACTTAACCTATATCAGAAAAGATCCCCAGCTCTGTTGATTTCCCAGCATTTTGAGATGCGACATGACATGGGTCTTCATACACCAAGTGACCATGCTGTAGGTGTGAAAGATTAGAAGTACAATACTGGTCTTTTATGTTCAACATTTATGAGCATCTCTTACAGCAAACATCTTCCCTTAATTAATTAGTTCTACTAATGTGTTTTAGCTAGCCATTAGGAAGTTGCTCAAACAGCTTAGAAACCAAGTGTTTCTCTGAGCAGTCACAAAGACAAGCAGGTGTTCCTTTCCAAGACAATTAGCCACTGTGGCTTTTATGAGGTCTAAGGAATAAGAGAAGACTTATGAGCAGACATTGAGAGATGTTTTTTTCTGAGTGACACAGCTGACACAGTAAAGGAATGTCACTTGGAAATATTTCTGTGTTTAGTTTTAACCTGATATTTGTATATCAGGCTCCTAACATAAATCAGAATTGTTCTAAAGCAGGATACTATTGCTTGTTGTTCTACAAAAAATCCTAAAAGAACTTGTGCCCCCCTTCCATGTATGTTATATTAACAAAAATAAAAAGAATTCAGCTCTTCTTATACCCACAGAAGATTTTCTCTTCTTAGTTTCCTGAATATTTTAGCTTCTATTTGACATTAGTCAGAACACTGGCAAGAAGTCCAGTACAATTATAGTGAGGTGCAAATTTAAGTAAATGATTTTACAGTATATTTAACAGGCTATTTAAATTCAAATGTTCTGTGGGAATTACTGCAGCTATGTCATCCTATACATATCTTTCCAACATAAAGAATGTTGTAGAGTGACTGAATTAAATTAAAGGGCATTTTGAAACATGTGACTAGAAAAACTGGAAAACTGGGAATATAACTGGGGTTTTAACACCTATCTTCTACCATCTTGTGTGCTGGAAAAGGCCTTTCAGTTCTGAGGGCTGGTAGGTATGTCTGGACTTATGTAGTTAAAATGTAAATGTAATCTAAAGGTAATGTGAAATGTCATGTTCACAGCATCATAGAATACCAGGTTGGAAGGAAGTTGAAGGGTCATCTGGTCCAGCCTTTCTTGGAAAAGGCACAGTCTAGATCGGATGATCCAGCACCCAATCCAGCTGTATCTTATACGTGTCCAACGCTGGGGAAGTCACCACTCCCCTGGGGAGATAATTTTAATGGCTGATCTCATTGTGAAAAATTTTTATTCTGTGTCTTATCAGAATCTCTTCAGGAGTAACTTATGTCCATTATCCCATACCTTTTCTTGTGCCTCCTTGTAAAATGGGGCACATCTCCATCTTCTTTGTAGCCACCTTTCAAATACTGGAACATGGTGATAAGGTTTCTTTTAAGTTTTCTTTTCTCAGGGCTTAACAAATGCCCTCAGTTCTCTCAGCCCTTTCTTACATGGCATGCTTCCCAGTTGCTTCATCATGCCTATATCCCTTCTCTTGACCCTCTGCAGCCTATCCACTTCTTTTTTTTGCATGGGGGGACCAAATCTAAATACCATATTCGAGCTGTGGCCTGGCAGGTGCTGAGTAGAGTGGAATAATGATTTCATTGTTTCTGTGGTCTTGGATTATGTTTTCCCAGGTGTATGACCTTACAGCTGTCTTTGTTGAACTTCATAAGGTTCTTGTGAGACCACTCTTCCAACCTATGCAGGTCTACCTGCAGGATGACTCTCCCTTTAGAAGTGTTCCATTTCCCACTTGGTTTGGTATCATCAGCAAACTTTACCAGGGTACACTTGATCCCATCATCCAGATCACTTATAAAGATATTAAACAGCATTGGATATTAATCCAATATTGCCTGCTGGAGTATCCTGCTTGTGACAGGTTGCCAGTTTGAAAAGAAGATATTTACCACCACTTGCTGATAGGCTGGGGCTTATCAGCCAGTTCCCCACCTGCTGCATGGACCACTTGTCTCTACTATAACACATCAATGTCTTTAGGAGGAGGAGGCTGTTGGAAACCATATCAGAAGCCTTGGAAAAATCCAGGTAGACAATGTCCACAGCTTGTCCCACCCACATCAACCAAGAACGTTACTTTCTTGTAAAAAACTCTAAGTGTTTTCTTTGGAAAAAAAAATTGCTAGTCTTCATGCAGCCAGCCTTATCTGAAAGACTAAAAAAGATGTGCAAAGCCCTGAAAAATCAATCTTGACATTGATGTTTTCTCACAAAAGATTTGTTCTGAGAACTGAGTTCTCTGGAGAACTACAGTGAGAAACATTCTTGTGCTCAAATGTTTTTTAGTTGATGCATAGAAGTACCAAGCAAGCAGGGAAAGTTCTAGTGAAAAGTCACTGGAATCAAGATGCATAATTCACCAACTTCTCCTTGGGTTACAACTTTGCCAGTGAGACTCAAATTCTCTACAATTTATGTTATAAAGCCCCAGTCTAAACAAAATCCAAACGTAATTAAAGAAAGTAAACGAGAGGCTTTTACAGTCATAACATAATATATGAAAAGTGCAATGTGTCTTGTCTTTTAAAACTTCTTAATTTTTTTCTCCAGGGTGACAAAGAAGCAGAACTAGGGCTGCCCTTCTCTCCTCTGTGTGATCGGAAATCTACTATGGTTGCTCAGTCTCAAATAGGTATGTCCCTTTTGGTGCAAGCAAAGTAGCATCTTAAAAGAAAAACTTCATCTTCTCAGTAGTGTTAAGATCCTAGTGATCTCATAATTTGGAATTATGTTGAAGAGAGGAAGTAAGACACAATGGCATTATTTTCCCTAGATCAACAATTCAAAGAGGAGCCATTAAATTTATGGTGATGGTTCCATACAGTAACCAAATTACCTCTGACATGTCTGCAGAAATAACTACAGTACTTGGTTATGACACTTACTCCATGATTTTGTGAGTTGTGAAGACAAGGGCACACATGAGAATATCACTGTTGTTGGTGTATATGAAAATGTAATGTCAGTTCCTTAGATGACCTGGACAAAACAATTTATTCCTTTCACCCTTTCCTTCCCAATGCTTTAAACCAACCATTGTTTTTCATCAAAGCCAAACAACTAGCAAACCTTTTCCTTTGCCATCCATTTAGAAAAACAGATCTTTTTATAGACTCACCAGCAGCATTTTCTCTACCTCTTCTTCAGTTACTAAGTGAAAAAGTAGGGGTAGGATGAGGCAATAAGCTTCACATTTAGTGAAAGAGGAAGAGGGGCTAAATGATGTAAAACTGTTCAGGGGTATTGGTGCAATGAAGAGAAAATGGAAAAGGTGGATTTGTAGGTGGATTTTTATGCCTTGGAAGTAAGTGAAGTAGAATAACATGTTTCAGCCTCAACTGGAGAATAGGTAGCCAAATGGAATAAAAAAGGAAAGATAACATGGACACTAAAATTGAGAAAACCAGAAAGACAGAAAATATATTAAAGCAAAAAAAATTTGAAGCATGAAATTTCTCTTAAAGAATGAAACAAAGATTTCTCTGAATCTAGGAAAGTACAGATTCATATCTTTGGCTAAAAGCTGTTTCTGTTTAAAATTATTTAATTGTTCCTGGTAATCAAGTCATTATCTCAGAGACAGCATCCCAGATTTTTCTGGCTTTGGAAGTTTAGACAATTCACCTAAGAATCTGAGTTTGAAGAGCCCTATACAAGCCTGGCCTGGTTACCAGGCTTGCAGCACTTACTCCTCTGGAATAATAAGCTACCATACAACTGTCTGTTCTGCCAGTAGCTTGGTGGAGGAAAGCAGCAACAAACTTGAAGTATGACAGTCTCAACTAAAACTGATGTTGAAGAGTCATGGACATAGGCTTATTGCTGTGCTGTGGGAGAAGATAAACTCTCCCTCTATGGCTGCTGTGAGGGAAAGTACAGGTAGATACTTCTCTTACACATCCATTTTATCTGCTTCTAGATATGTTCCTCACTTGTTACAGGGAAGAGAAGTTGTGCCTTCCCTGGGGTCCCTCTACATAGGTTTATGTATGCTTGGGAACCAGTCTTCCTGGTCCTCTCTTTTTGTGCTCCTTTGCTCAGACCTTTCCTCAGAAGAAGAAAGAAACCTCTGTTCTGAGGTCCCTATGTCAAGCTACTGCAAAATTAATGTTATATTAAATCAGCACAAATACAATTTACCTTAGAGGCACTTTTCAGTAGGCAAAGGCAGGCTTATTTAGTCATATATCATTTGTGCAGTTTAGTAATCCATTGACATTAATGGACTACTCTTTATTTTTTTTGCCTTCTACCATTATTAAATTATTAATTTTTCAGTCTGCAGCACATTTTGACAGTGTCTTTCTCTAATGTCCCTTTTGTTAAATTGCAGCCACCTGTTTTCTGGCTAACTGCTGAGATCAGACTTTCAAAGTTGTAGACTAGATTGTCAGACAGATAATCTCCTTTCATTCATTTATTTATCCAATTAATAGTCTGAAAAAATTGTTTCCTGGAATAGTAATTACATTTCTTTGCAGAAGTAAGTTCTTACTGAATTCCAAATTGTGCTATTATATGGTTGGACTTGATGATCTTAAAGGTCCTTTCCAACCTTAATGATTCTATGATTGTCATCTGCACCAAGCAGCCATCAATTCTCACAAATTAAAAACCTGTGTTCTTTGTGAAATAAAATTGTGCATTTTGTTCTAGCAAGGACACAGACTAGAAATCATTTTCTGGTGGCTCAGCTTGTTTGTGGTTTTGCTGCTGTAAGATCATTGTAGATGCAACAACAGTGGGCACACATTTTCATTAATGAAAACTTTTCACAAATGCAGACAAAACGTTTTGGCAATATGGACTTCTTGCATGAAATTAAACAATCCAACAGAAAAATACTCCTCAAAGGAAAGAATGTTTCTCTCCTGTTGCATCAGATTGTGAAAACATTGTTCGGTTTAAACTGATAAATAAAAACCACATGAATAAAAATTATTGAACTTTATTTTGAAAACCTATTAATGTTAACTATAATGACCAATTTATCATCCTTTTTCATATTCAATAGAATGAGTATGGCAAATATTTCTGTGTCATAGTAAAGTACAGAAATTGGGAGAGATTTTTGTTGGGAAGTCAAGCTGCTTGTCAGAGTGGGGGAGAGTTAAAACTGCAAAGAAAACCAGACCAAGACTTTCATATTTTCCAACAAGAATATCAGGAGCTAAAACTTCTCTGGTTCCAACTCTAGGAAGCTTATGTTACAGAAGATCAGCCTTTATTGTCATTGTCCTCTTTTGCAGCTGATAAATGCAATAGCATGTTTTATTTTTTGTCTTTTTACTGTCAAGAAATAAAAATGCACTTCCAGAAAACATTGCCTAAAGGCAGATGAGTGCATGCTCATGGACTTTAGAGAAACTGTCCTCTCCCCAGTTTTCTCTATGTTGATGTTCAAAGTTATAATGAGTGAAAACTAGGCATATGCCTGGGATTCACTCTTAGCATGCAGCATTAACTGGTAAAATCATCTTATTCTCTAGGGTACAGAAATGTTTATCATGCTCATTCTGTTGATGGAGGAAAGAGATGATAAACTGGTCATTAGTATTAATAGGTTTTAAAACTCAGGCTCATTATTTGATATTCAGGTTTTTAAGTAGCAAACTAAATTACCATATTTAAATCTAAGTGTTTTCAGGTAAAGAGTAAGATTATACAACGGAAGGGAAGGCATGTAGGAATATGGCAAAAGTTACACAATTTTTAGTAAAGTCCTAGGGTTTTTTTTCTACAGTAGCAGATTATGATTCCAACTTTATTATAATAACTATTTTAAGGTAACATAGTTGAATAACTTATTTATGTTAAAGGGAGTAGAGGGGAAAAATGTAACTTATCAAAGAAAAGTTGTCCTATGTATTTGAGTTTTTTACCTGTGTTCCTTTTGGCACCTCTGCTTATCTTTTTTGATAAGATGCAAGACCTCTCAGAGGGAAAACTTGATTCTTAAACACTGCTGTTTAATGTGTTTATGTGCAACTGTTCAGTATCTCACAAAAGATATCCCACTGTCTTGCTGCTGAAGTTAGTGACACATTCATGTGCCTGATATCAGAGATTTGCACGTCTCAGGGTTGTTAGTGGTGAAGAAGCAAATGGCAGTGGTATTACTTGCTGAGCAGAATGACAAGGTACTATGACTTGGGTTTCTTTAATCATTAAGTGGCAAATAAGTTTTTGAGTGAAGGGGAATATAAGAGACATATAGACAGAGACACACACAAATGTGTAAATCAAGTTCTCATTGTCCTAGGATTTCTGTTGCATGCTTAACACTGCTCTCAGTCAGTAAAATGTTTAGTGCTTAAAAAAATTATATGAAGTTTGCTGGGACTGTCTGGGCTGTGATCTAGCATACAATTTCCTCTTCAAGGTTTATACTGCATGCATTTCTGATTAACTACATGGGAATTCTTTTTTTTTTATAAATTTTAATAGATAAGACTGACCCATAACTGAGATGTTATGGAGGCACATGATTCAGATATTCAGATAAGACTGCATGTGTCCCCAGATTTACAAAATGTTACTTGAAAGTAACATTTTTAATTTTATTGGCATGAAAATACACCTAAAAATCAATCCTTTTAGAAATTTAGCAAAAATATGGGCAGAGAAATGGAACTAGGAGGATGTCAACTGCTTTGCACTCAAGATGTGGATTGATGCATCTGTGAATTCAAATGCCTGAACCACATGATCTCTTCTTTTGTTGTTCAGTTATCACCTAGAATCACCAGTGCAATGGAAACATATCATGACCTGGTCAGAGAAATTACAATATTATTAATGAATAAATAATTGTTGATAATTAAAAAATATCTAAAAAATGAAATCGTAGGGATTTGTAACAGTAGTAATTGTAACCTGGATTTCAATGTGCCTTAGGAGGGATTAAGGACTAAGTTGTTTTCTTGGCTACCTGCAGCACTAAGTAATTTCATAAGTGAAGTGCTAAATTAGTTAGAGAAATGTGTAAGCTACTCTAAGCTACTCATATTCACATTTTATTCATGCAGTTTGGATTTTCCTTCATCTCAGACCATAGGGCTCTTCAGTATGCTTTTCCCAACGTTCAGATCAGAGCCATATTAATCTCTGTTAAATTGTATACTGAAGTAGAAAATATTTGGGTCTTTATTTTTTTCCCCTTTTTTTTAATATTAAAAAATGTGGGGAAAGCACCTAGATCTGTTTTATTATCAACAAGGAGGAAGCTCGCCAAGCACTGAGGAGAGATAATCCATAGCAACATACTGATAAGCAGTAAGAGTGGTTTAAGCTTACTGGTATTATTACTGTTACAATTATTTTCTTTGAGAGAGTTCTTTGAAGTTGAGCTTTACTTTAAAGTTTTATCAAAATCTATAGGAATTTGACTTCAATGTTCTTCGATTTGACTTCGCTACTCTTACAAAACAAGTCTTGATTAGTCTGCTTATGTTCTGATTTGCCAAAGTTTCTTTCCAGTGTTTAAGTAGGTACCTTTTAATGCATGCTATATTGAGGGTCTTGGGTCAGGGATTAATGTATAACTCAGTTTTCCCTTTCTAGTATTTGTCTATCTCTCTTTCAAGTTATAATTTTTTTTTACTGTAATTTACAGTGTGGTCATCTGTAGTCGTTGAAGAGGAACTCCACATAAATCCTCCTCTTGCCTGCTTGACTCTGCTTGTCTTTCTGTTCAGGTTTCATTGATTTCATTGTGGAACCCACCTTTACTGTGCTGACTGACATGACAGAGAAAATTGTGACTCCTCTAATTGATGAAGCTTCCCACTCTGGCATGTCTGGATTTAGGCGTTCCAGGTGAATAGCTTTGCACCCTCTCCCTTCATTCTGTATGACCTGCCCTTGCAATCAACTGCCCTGGTTTCCCTCCTCTACAGTGTATGATTTCTTGTGGTTTAAAGACTCATATCTGTATTGTCAACACCACAGCTCACCTCATGAGGTGACTTTGTGCAGGAAAAGTCCAGCCCAAAGGAGGTCCAAGAGGGAGGAGGGTGGCGTCAGCCTGAGTCATCCCTTCTAAGGCAAGGAGCACAAATGTTTGTAGCCATGCAATCAGATACACTCAGTGCTCTCTTAGTCACTAATGTCAGAGAGAAAGTAATGAGGATAACTGGGAGGCACTTGTTTCTTCATGCCTAGAATTATAAATGGGATTGAAACCCAAATGATGGATAAAAAGAATAAGCACACTTTTTTGACAGTGTTTAGGGTTATGCAAATGTGTGAAGAACCACCACAATTCACCTGGAGTTTAGATGTAGGAAGTCTTGGTCTGTTCAACCTGCACTGCTGTTTTAGATACTGCTCTTTTAGTACTTTAATTGACAAGGCATATCTTAGGATTCAAATGCCACATGGCTAGTGCTTCCTAGAGTAATGCTATCAAGTCAGGATTCACTCCCCCAGGTCACTTTGCTCTTGAGCAAACAGAGACCAAACACTAACATCTTTCTATGTCAGTAACTTTGCTGCCTTCATTAAAATGTTCATAATAAAGTATCAAAAGTCAGCTGCAGGATCTGTAACAGAAATAAATGCCTGAGTCTCAGCTGAGGTCACCAAGCCCTTGACAGAAACTGACCTGTGCCTAATACCTCCCATTGGTGAAATATAGGAAAGTCCTCTTGTGACATATTTGATTTCTAGAATTGTCTGACTCTTCAGTAATATTTAGGCAGTGGAGATACACACAAAAATAGTTACAGCACTTCGAGTGATTCTATTTCTTAGTGAGAATGAATGCCAAAATAATAGATGGGGAAAAGCCCTTTATTTCTAAGACTGGCTGAGGTTGCACTCTGATTTAATATTGGTTGGCCTGGGGCAGGAGAGAGGGGAAGGATAAGGGATTCAAGCTTAGTTTTTCATAGGTAGCTCTGTTATCTGACTTTCAATTATTATTTTTTCTTAGCTGTATTTGAGTGTATGGGATACTGATTTCTTCTGTGTTTTGTGATATTGTGTCCCAGTTTGAATAGCATTAGTCCCTCTGGAGTTAAAAGATCAAGTGTCAATGTCACTGGGTCCGAAGGAAGTGCCTCACCCAACTGCTCAATACTCACTGTGGACTTCAAATGTTTTAAAGCCACCTGGACTGAGGTGGTGCAGCAGAACAGGGAGAAATGGAAAGCACAAGCCACCAAAGGTAACAGCCTTTGTTAGTAAAATTATAAAATTCTGTTGACCTCTTCTTCTTCAAGCTCGTCTTCAGCTTAACCATTCTCAAACTGTTAGTTTCAATCCACCTATTGAATTCAATAAGCCACTCTGAATTCAGAAAGATAGGGACATTGTGACTCACTTGTGAATTATATTCTTCTTATAAGTATACATAATGAAGAGGATGCGAAAAATGGGAGGAGAAAAAATTTAAAGGGAATTCCTCTGAAGTCACAAATCAGACTCAGAGGGTGCAAAAATAGTTGGAATGGTATTTGTAAATATAGGTTTATCAATTGTTCATTGTACAGCTTGAAAGGGGGTGGTAGTTTTAGAGATGGTTGGTAATTGGGGGTTAGTTCAGGGGAGATGGATATTCTCTATTCCCAGCTAGTTTCATACTTCTGGTCATAACTTGGAAAATTAATTAGGAACTAAACTGAAAATGTGTGTGACGTTATCAGTCTGAGAAGGACTGCAAACATTTCAGAAGAAAATGAGGGCTGTGTTGGTTGAAGGTTGACCAGGGCTCAATACTGTCAGGAAACTGAAAAAAGGCCCAACCAACATCCCACCACCACTGAAAAAACCCAACAAAACAAAGCAAAGCAAGGCAAGGTAAGGCAAAGCAAGGCAAAGCAAAGCAGAGCAAAGCAAAGTAACACGCCCCCCAACCCAGACACTAAAAAACCCCTCAAAAGGCTTTGCTTCTAAGACCCCTCTGTCATTCTTCTCATCTTTTCAGCAGTAACAAGATCCTCAGTGGTTCTGTGTCCAGTTTTGGCCACTACAGTTTAAAAAAACCCATATGAACCACTTGTAGACAATGCAGAGTACAGCAATGAAAATTGTGATAACTTGTTCATAGCTAAGGAAGTATATAGCTGAAAACAGTTTTTTGAAGACTACTGCAGCTTCAAAATAAGGAAATTATTTTTTACTCAAATACCCCGACCATTAAGAAAAAGCTGGCAGGTTATTATAGGTATTTTTATAATGTCTAATAAGTTAGACATTAGCAAATCTCTATTATTTGAGTTCTTTTGGAAGTACTGAGAACCATATTTTAAGAATTATTTAGGTGTAATTGCCCTTTTGCTCAAGGGTATGGATGATTTCCCAATGTATCCTAGAATCCTTAGATGATTTAGACCAGATTTGAAACAAAAAAAAGGAGGACTATTTCACTGGTTTTTCTTTTCTTCATGAAACTGTGATACAAATTGTTCTCTGATCTGAATGGTTCTTGCTCAATCCCTTATTTAATGCAGTTGTTTTATTTTATATAAATGGAAGGAGTTTGATTTTAATGTATTATGTGGCTGTGACTTTAGGGATTTGGCATAGTTCTCTAAAACGCCAGAGCAGATTTTTCCTCTCCTACTGAAAGACCTGTCTAAAGGTTCAGGAAAACATGCATTATTCAAAAACAAATTTTCCTTTGTGATTAAAACTTGCTATTAATGAAAAACACTTTCTAGGCATTCCATGAAAATAAAAACATAACTATAATTCAAAACATGTTTATTTCCCAGGGACTTTTTTGTTTGGTTGGTTGGTTTTGGTGCTATTTTTTCCCTGGTGTTTTTGTGGGTTGTTTCTTTTTTGTTTGTTGCTGTTTTTGTGTGTGTGTGTGTGTGTGTGTGTGTGTGTATGTGTTTGGGGGGGTTTGCTTGTTTTTGTTTTGTTGTGGTTTGTTTGTTTCTCTTTTTGTTTTCTTGTTTGATTTAATACCTAGCAATTCCTTATGGACCAAATTAAAGCTAACCAAACAAGCAAAACATTTAGCATGTTCAGTGTTTTGTGGTATAGGAGAGTTGAGTGAATGAAATTACAAATTACAATACAGGTAACTAGTTTTAAGAATTTAATTTCAACATGTACCAGGTATTTTCTTGACTAAGCATAAACTATATAAAAATCCTATGTGCAAGACAGACCTGTGGGAGACTTTTACATAATTTCTGTCTTTTTAGATACATTTAGCAGTACAAGCATGCATATTTTTTTTAATCCTGAAAGTGTTACACAAACATATGGCCCAGCATGCTTTTGTCTGGGCTAAGGACTAAGGAACTGTTTTTGGACTCCAGACCACTGGCATCAGTATCTTTGCTCAGATGCTATTTTCTCTTGACTTGCAACAGGTTTCTGCACCACTCTCCTTGACTGTCTTGTAGCAAGGCCTACCACACATCAGGGGCTTAAATTGCTGACCCTTGACAAACTGGTGTCTTGCAACCAAGATGCATTGCTAATAAAAAAAATTATTATTAAGAGAATACATAAACATTTACTGTTTGTTGACAGAAAATAAAATTTGGGATCTGAAAGGAAGGAACCTATTATTGCTATTTTTGTAGCTAATATTATTATTAAATTATTTGTAAAATACTGTATTCCCTTTGGTAATGGCATTGTCCCTAGAAGCCTCAGTGAGCTGTTTTCATCCTGAGTATGATATTTATAAAAAAATTCTCTTACTGTGTGGAAAAAGTGAGTTTATTACTGATTGGAGGTTTTTTTTTGCCTAGATGATCATCATTAAAGAGCAACGAAAAAAACACTAGACAAACACTCTGTTGTACAAAGCACCATTTAGATAAAGTATTTTCTGACACTACTTTTGACAAGAGACACTTATCTAATGGTGTTTTAGCAAGCCAAATTCTCCTGAGACAAAGTTTTATCCTGTGGTTCAGATGCAGAATAAAGCTTTTTTTTTTCAGATCCCCAAATGAGAGGAATCCTGTAAGCCATGAGACCTTGACATTAGCTCAGTTGGTTAGAGCATGGACTTGACCTCTGTATGGCCCATTCACTTAAGAGGTGCACTTTATGGATCCCTTCCAACTCAGAATATTCTGTGAAATCTGTGAGACATCCCTACAGCCTTCAGTAGCTAGTATTCTTTTTGCCTTTTAAGAATTTTGAGGAACTACTTTTTCAAAGGTGAACTTTATATGGTAAAAAAAGGATGTGCATAAAATACATTTAGGACAACCAGGGGGGTTATTTTCAGAATATTTTGTTAAATGTCCTCCTATGTTCTTTTTCCATTGTCAAATCAGTTTCTATATTTATCTAAGTAAATTTGTTTGCACATGAAAATCTGAAGTAGATTTAGATATGTGTGTTGTTCTTGTCAAATTGACTGATAGTTGTGATTTTTTTCCCTTTTTTGGCTTCTCTCTTTGCTGAGGATGCAGAAGAAAAAGCTAAGAAAGAATCAGAGGAAAATGCTGGTCAGGGAACAGATGAAAAGGAAAAAGATGAACAGGATAGGAAGCCAGGTGAAGATGTCACAGAAGCAAAGACAGAAAAGAGCAAAGAACCAAATCCTGGGGAAAGCAAAAGTGCAGATTCCAGTAAGAATCCTGTAAATGGCACCTGGAAAAGTGGTATGAGCACACATGAAGCCCATCAAGAGAAAAATGCACCTAGGACAGATAAGAAAATGTATCCTCATCATACTGTAGAAGAAGAGAAACAGCACGTCCAGAATGGTGAGTTCTCTTCTCCTACTGAAACATAAATCAGCCCTAAAACCAGTATCTCACCATAGTGGTGGGGGAACCTGATGTCCTGAAAAAGCATTCTTCAGCCCAGAGTCTCTTCCTGAATATAGGCATAGTCAGCAACATATGGGAATCAGAACCTAAGTTAAATTCCAAGTAGTGTTCTTCTGTAGATAGGGTTTAGCATCCCTGCTTGGAAAAAAGGAAAAATTAGTTTTTTCATGGAACTGAAAAAACTAATTTAGCCTGTTATGATACACAGCATGGAAAGCTGAAAAAAATATTCCTGCTTCAATGGACATCTTCATTGCTTGAGTAACTGACAGAGGAGAAGCCAAAGTTGCCTTATAAACCCATTTTAAAGCAAATTAAGGGCATCTTTGATTTGAGCCTCAGATGGAAATATGTTTTGGAACAACCAGTTTTTTTCCTCTCTATTTTTAGGATTTATTTCATCTATCCTTCCTTTGCTCTGTTTATTTTTTATAAGGACAATCACTAGCCTTTATTTTTTGAGGGTTTTTTTTGACAGAAATTTTATTCCGGTTATTTTAACTTGCTGTGGAACTGAGTTAAAATAAGAACCCCATTCTGCACCCAAAAAGAAGTGGAAAAAATGTCTGAAAATTCCATTAAACATTAAAAAAACTTATTAAACCACAGAGATCACTTGTCTTTTGGCCATTTCACTGTCCTTTCCTGCACAGCTCCTGCTCTCTGGATCCAAGATCAAAAAATGGCAGTACAGCCACATGTATCTTATCACAAACTTGGCTAGTACCATGCAGTCCAAAACTAGTGGAAAAGCCACTTAGAAGCCTCCTCTTAGAAAAAGACTGAATGAGCATTTAGGCTTTGAAAGTCCAGGCTCAAGTAGTGAGTTTAAATGGCAGGAGATGCTGAAAATTCTGTTTAAAAAATTCCTGATATCATTCTCAGGGTTGCTGGCTTTTCCCAGTAATTCCTTCATAATTAAGAGTTTTTTTAGATTGGAAGGGCTGTGGGAATCAAAGCTGTCATTCTCTCTGATTCATGGGATTTTTCTCAGACAGTGTTACATGTGTGAACAGGAATGGGACCCTCAGGAAGACAAAAAGGTCAGGGACATATGAAATGCGAGTTAGTCTTCACCAGACTTTTCTTCTGCAATCCTTAGTTTTGCCTGCTTCTAACAATATGGGGATTATGTGTGCTCTAGTATAGATGTACAAAACACTCGCTCAGGGTGAGAGACTTCTCCAGGGTCTAGCTGTTCAGGTATAAGCAGTTTATTATATGGGTAAAGGGAGGAAGAGACCTGTATCCCCCGCCAGCCTCGGCGTACACGTGGCCATGGAGGGAGAGAGAGCGGAGTGGGGAGAGCAAGAGAAGAGAAGTTAAAGAGAGGGAGGGGGAAATAAGAGTAAGAGGGAGAGAACAGGGAGAACAAGGGAGGCTTAAGAGAAAGGGGGAAACAAGAGAGGAGTAAGAGAGAACACAAGAGAGTTAAGATAGTGGGCAGAATAAGAGAGCGAAGTTCTTGTTACAATACAATATATGCTTTTTTATAGTGAATATTCTAACTCCCAGTAACCAATCACTACGAGACACACCCACTGAAGAATTTACATATACCCTATAGGAACTACTATATTACCATACAGTGTTACATTTCAAACTCTAAAAGCTTCACAAATTCTTCTCTTGCTGCTTGACCTTTGGATTCTCTATCTGCAGAAGGACATTGTTTCATCAACAGGGATTCTCCTTTAGCTGGCACGACTATTGCTCCTTGGATATTTATTAACTAGCACTCAGTATCCCATGACCCAAAGCTAGCTCTCATTTCTACTTCGATTTTAGGCTTCGTGTTTTCAGAATCTTTTGCTACACAATCATATTCATTAGGTTTCCCTGTTTCATCCTCCCCAACACTCTAGTGATTTTGTTAGTCCTTTTTTTGGCAATGTGTCTCGGCTGAAAGTGTCAAAAGTGCTCTGAAAGGAATTATAGTGATTTCTGGAAATTAGCATCTTCCTCAGGAAAAGAATTTCTGCTCCTTTATTTATGGGATAAGACCTTTATGAGGAACAATCACTGAAGAGTTTCTGGGGACTGATGAAATTTTAACATTCATATCCCTAGATTTACCACAGCTTCCTTTATGTCTATATGTTAATATATCATCTAATGTATTTGTCTTATTATTTCTCTGCCTCTGTAATCTGTTTGAAAAGATCATTATGATCATTATTCTGCTCTGCTGCTGGCAGTATGACAATGTAATGTAATATCTACATTACTCGAAAGTCCCCTTTTCATAATATTCACTGAAAGTTCAGAAATTATGCTATCAGGTGAGTTTGAGATATGGAACTCTGAAACAGTGCATGTGTAGATAGCCAACATTTTTTCCTGCACACACTTAGCAACTTGTTTATGCAATGGTCAAAAAAGTTTTGTTAGTTCATCATTACCATCAGCTGTATGATGGTGGAGGAAATGCAAGAATACTTTTGTGCTTTTCTATGTGCATATTTGTTTCAGTTCCTGAAGATTGTCCCCCTTTCTTTTTAAGACCACCTTCATCAGACACCTAAACCCTGTTGGATCTGCTCATAACCTCTTTGTACAAAGACCCCAAGTCAGTGGTAGTGTGATCAGCTGAGGAGGGTGCTGCTTGTCCTGTATTGTCTTGCACCCATTTTTTTTTTTTTCACCCACCCAGTGAGCTTAGGAAGATAAACATGAAAAGTTTTGAATAAAAACTGAACAGAACATGCTTTGGTTCCATCTTGTTAAATATTTTAGGGTTTGAAAACCATTCCTCTTTTATACTCTTTGATACTATGATGAAGCTTAATTGGAGAGAGAGATTGATCCACTACCGTACAAGAATAATGGATATGCTAATGGTTAAGGCACACTGTGGAAGAGGGAGACCTCATTTCTCTACAATTTTTTTTTTTTGAGCTGTTCCAAAAATAAATATCCACTGCCTATGAGAATTTTGAAGGCAGATTGTATATTCTTTAACACTTAATGCCTTTAATCTTGATCCAAAGGCTGGGAAGTAGTTATAGTAACAAAAATAGTAATATAAATTAAATAAGCATCACTGTAATACAGCGTCACATTTACAGAATTCTGAAGTGAGACTTTTACAGCTTTTTGTTTTGAGGTGTGCATCACAAAAGGAAAAAGACCTTTCTTGCTGTTTGGACACTGCAGCTGAAATAGCTCTGTTCTGCCACGGCTTTCCATATAAGTTTTTATTTGATCTAGCATTTGGCATTCTCATTCAGTGAAGGGATAGTCTGGTAAGGTCTGATGTACTTTACTCTATGGCAAAAAAAAAAAAAAAAAAGAGTCACTCTTGGTTGACATTCCTTCATAAAATACACCCCATCTTAAGTTGCTATTTTCATTCTGCATGAACCATTGCCCTGCCAAAGGCCTTGATTTTTTTGGTTTGCTACATAGACTCTAAAGGCAATGGTCAGTGCTAGGATGATTGTTCCCTGATACCAATACAAACAAATCTGTGGATAAAGGAATCTGCTAAGAGAAAGAAAGGCAAAATTACATAGGCCTGTTCAGAATATCTAAGATGGTTCTTTAAAACATACACTTGTGGTGAATCCTTGAAGGATCTTATTTCTTTGGAAAGCATAAATGTTTTAGACTTCTAATTCTGAAATGAAGCTTATGATCAGGTTTTAATGGCCCACACACAATCAGAGGAATTGTACAGATTTAAAAGGATTTAAAACTTGCTTATCTGTAGGAGTTGGATATTTTTTTCTGGTGCTTTGTTCTATGAAAATATGTTAATTAAGTTCTTTTTGAACTCAGACCTTTCCTCCTAAGGAACACCATCTCCTTTGGGTGTTGCAATTTCATTGAGTTATAAACATTAAAATGCACTCTGCATTAAAATGCTTATAGTGTTTCTTATTGTTTCTTATTGCTTCTTTCCAGGTGAATTAAAGGAAGACGACAAATTGGACAGAAAAGATAAGTTTAGTGTGGGGGAAGAATCAAAGAAAGCAGATGGTAAGGATAACATTTTATTGCATTTTTGACACCCATTTTTATATGCAATCTATTGTTTCATAAACATCTCCAGTTTATTCTAAAACAAACAAAAAAGTGTGGTAACCAGAAACAAACTTAACAGAAACAGTCATTAGATTTTAAAAAAGCCATTGAAGCATTCTGAGGGAAAATCAGTCCTTTCACATAATGCCTAGTTCACATAATACTTAGTTCTGCTGGTAAGCCTTATCTGTCAATTTTTGTGCAGTGGCTGAAAGAAAAATCCTGGATTACTAGAGTTGCTTAATGGGAAATGCAGATTTATGAGATGCTACCCTTCTGACTTTCTTCAGGCTGTATTCTTCTGTCTATAAGGACAGGTTGCATTGGACATGAAGAAAACAGACGAAAATGCTGCACAAGAGGTTCTATTAATGATGCTATTGAAAAGGGAGACTGCTGAAACATTTTTGAACTCAGTAGCGATACAGGATGGTTTCATGGGCACGTGGGAATAATTTAATGGAGTCTCAGCCTAGTGTAGAGGTCCACAGATATTTTAGCAGCCTCATCAATTTGGAAAAAACATCTTGTTGCTCTATTTGGAACAGCAAGAAGAACGACACAGACTCTCTTGTGGAGTCAAACTGGAGAATTTCTCACAGTTTATTGCCTCAGATCTTTGTTCTATCTCTGAGGATTGTTTTAATTCCTCCTTATGATTTCCCAGGCCACTTTCTCAGGCAAGACTGAGAAAGTTATGTGGCCTGCTATTCCACAGGCACTGTGCTCCCTGCTTCATAGTTAGCATCCGTAACATCTCTAAGTTCTGCAGCGCTTTTACACTTTTGCACTTCCTCACCCCTATACCACAGGTCTATGAGATGGTATCTGAACCCACATTGCTTCAAAGACAATTGCTGAATTATTAGGTAGCAAAATAAATGCAAACAAATTTTCTAGCATTTTCTTTGTGTATGTATCAGTGAAATTCACTGAAATGTTACTATTTATAAATATAAATAATACAGTGCTTTGTTTTGATGGTTGAAACCATCAAAGTTATTTAAATTCCTACTGCTCTAGCAAAGCAAGTGGTATTTACTACGAGTGATAAATAGGATGAAAATATAATACCTCAACATGTAGAAAAACATGTAGAAAATTTTATCTAGAAGCATGTATTAATTTCAGACACATATTTATGAACCTTTTCTTAAGAAGCTCCTTAGTAACACTTGTTTAGAAAAAATCAGTTCTTTTGTTGAGAGGTCATGTTACTTATATACTTGAGTTAAATGTGTGTCAGGAAAACAGTCTTGAACAAGTACCAATCACAGCTCTTACTGCAGTCATGCAGAAATTAAGCACAGATACTGAAATAATAGTTGACTAAAGATTTTCATGAGTATGTGCAGTTCTGTATATAACTATCAAGAGTCCAGAAAGATTAATGGGCAGAATGACTGCTCTCCCTGCTCTGAGGGGTGATGGCTGAGCAGCAGTTGTGCTGGAAGGCTGCTTCCTTGCAGGACCAGGTGAATGCAGAAACAGTGGGACTTTTATAGGAGGACTCAAGAACACCAGCTCAGCCAAGAAAGAAGACCCATGACTCTCAGGAAAAGGTTACATTTGAACACCTTCATTCTCAAGTTCTTAGAAAGATTAGGGCCACATATTAATTTGGGCTGGAGAACCAAGAAATTAATATCATACTAACTTAAGATTGAAGATCAAGGATGTGAATTTGGTTCTTTTCAAGTTGCTTATCTTTGGTGTTATTTATATTTGTATTTGCTCTCCTGTAAGAGATAGCTAAGTTCATCTCCTTAGGGAAAAGACCACTACCATGGGGCCAATTGATTACAGTGAATAAGCAACTCTAGCATGCAAAAACAATTTGTAGGCTGACTGTTTCTCATTCAGACAGTGTAGAGGCAGATTATAGCTAATTATCTAATTGATAAAAATCAGAATAAATATTGTGAATTGTGCACCTCAGAAAGAAAAACACTGGAATGGTGCTTCTGCTTTGCCAAATACTGCACAACCTGTTCTGTCCATTAAACACTCCAGAGCAAATCTCCTTACCCATCATGTGAGGGGTGTGGAGAAAGGAACATTATCCATGGATAATACATAGTTCTTTGCAGACTGTTTACTTGAACATATGCTTTCTCTTGGGCCAGTGCGTGGTCTTTCACACGTCACACGCTGGAAAGAAAGATTTAAGAATTAGAAAGATTGAGATTATGGCTATAATGTGCTCACCACATATAATTTGCTGGTGGGTGAAACTCAGCCTGGACTTTTTTTCAGGGTCAAGGGTACTTGGGTTTTACAACCTCTGTTCGGTGTGTAGCTGGGGAGTATTTGTATTAAACAGGCCCATTTGTGTATGTTTAACATAAGAGCTTCAGCTTTCTCACCACTACCCCTTTGCATCAACTGAAATCCTGAAGCCAACTGACGACACTCTGCCCTACTCTGTCCTGCACCCAGAAAAGAAAGCTGCAGACCCTATTTTGCATAAATCTTTGTAGGATATGTATCCAACTTGCTTTTTAAACTATATACAAAGGAAACTATTGTGATATTTACTTATAGGCATACATACATGTCAAAATAATTCTAGTATGTCTGTCCTACTACCTGGGAAGCCTAGTGACTAGAGATACACAGAAAATCTAGCTATGTTGACACAAAGATGTTGAAACTACATGTCTACCCTGTAGTCACAGGTGTGAAATGTAGCTTCTGTGTCAGTTACCGTGAAGCTACAAAAAAATACTCAAATGGGCATGCCTCCAGGAACAAGGATCAAACTCACTGTGTGAGGAACTATGTGTCTAGCCAGACCTTTGAATGACTAATTCTATCCAACTGCAATAAAGCTAGTTTGAGAGTGACTATGTAAGTTGCAGTCATATCTTGGATTTCAGACTTAGCTGCTTCAAAATCCTGTGCAAGTCTCTTGAATATAGACTAGTCTTCTTCTCATGTTAATTTGATCATATTATCGGTTGGGAGTTTTTTTGTTTATTTTTGTGGGGTTTTTTGTGTGGTTTTTTTTTTTTCTGTGGGAGATACTGCTTGCTACTCACTATTGTCCTTTTCCTTAGTTTCAAGAAAATAAATAAGGGGATGCCATTTCCCTAATAAAGATACATTCCTGTCAGAGACATCATCAGCACAAGTAGTTCATCAAGTGTTTCCTGTGGGATAGAATATTAAACTTTTGAAAACTGTTGTTTTCAAAAATTGTTAAATTCTGGAAAACTGAATTTTTCATGTGAAATTATTGCTTGGCTAGTCTTTGAATGGAAAATTATAAGCAGTCCCATGGACATAATTTTTCTTGGCATTCCAACCTTTCTTTTTTTGAAATATTATTTTTTTTCTCATAAAAATACAGCAAATGAGAAAATGATTCTTCCCCATTACAGACAGTATATAAGGAAGAAATTTTTTTCAGTTATTGTGGCAAAACATTGAAACATTATGTCCATTGTGGTGGTAGAAACCTCATTCCTGGAACCATTCAAGGTCAGGTTGAACAGGGTTCTGAGCAACCTGATCTAGTTGTAGATGTCCCTGCTTATTGCTGTGGAGTTGGACTAGATGACCTTTAAAGGTCCCTTTGCAATCCAAACTATTCTGACTGTATGATCCTATGATTAATGCTTTCACAGGTTGTTTCTACCATGTCCTCATTTTTTTTTCTGGAAGGGAAAAGGTTCTGCTATACTAATCCAAAATTTTCAGTGTAACTTCTTGTTTTGGAGAAAACACAGTCCATTCAATCAAATATACTCTCAGATACCAATTGTACATAAATAAAAGGTACCTTTTTTGTATGTTTGTCCTAGGAGTGTATTACTCTAGTGGTAACATGCATGTTTTAGCACGAAAATATACAAGATATTTGCATCTTCGACAGGTAGTACATGAAATGAAAGCTCAATGTACTCTGGCTATGTGATGAGCAGGGCTGCCACCTCATGGTCAAATCGAAACCTGTGTTTTGACAGGTTTCTTTCAGTACTACATTCTTCTATACAGTGCAACACAACAGAATAGAATATAGTCACTATAATATAATGTAATATGGTACTACATGCAACCTTTTTAATATTCGGACTTTATTACATAGATGGAGGTTTTAGTTTTCTTTATTTTGATTTTTTTAAAGATAAAATGTTGCTTATCAGTAGTTAAAAGCTCTTATTTTGAGTTCTTTACATTGCCCATGCCAACATGTAAAGCTGCCTAATTTTTTTTGATAATGATTTCTTGATCAGGAAGTGAAAATTTTTTGATTATTAAGTTAAAGCCTTCATTTCTTTCTGTCCCAGCTGTCCCAAATATCAAGTGGCAGAGTAGCTGGCACAGAATTTTATCTGACAATTCCTTTGGTATAGGAACATGGTGGTGAGAAGATGCCATGATGAGGGCTCCACAATTATTCTGAGAGAGTTGAATTAACAGGATTCTTCCCAGCTTCATTTGTCATAACTTCTCAACCATTTAATATTGCCTGTCCTTGAAGCTTTCTGCAAGATACAATCTTTGTGTTGATCTAGCCAAGACCACTACATAGCAATGACCACTAAGCAGACTTCTGATGAAATCCTGCTTATGTAATATTCATGATTCTGATGTTGTTTTAAAACAGGTTGCTCAAATATAAAATAAAATCATTTGTCTATGTCTCCTTGAGAGATGTAAAAAGGTAAATTACAGGTCATATAAATAATGGTACCATTTCTAATTCTGTTTCAAAAGATAGGCTGATCTCTCCATTATTGTCAGAAGCAAAAAATCCATTTCAGTTTGTAAGGCAAACACATAGTATTTCTCCTTGCTGCTTGATAGTGTTCTTCATATTATGTGTCATAATTCAGCAGCACAGGCAAATTGGAATCTAACCGTAGTCTTAGTCGACTTATTAAAGATAGTTCCCTTCCTTTTCTCACTTCTTTTTTATGGCCTGTTACTTGAATTACATTAACAGCTAT